TGGATGAAAGATACTGTCTGCAGCTGATGGCACTAGAGAATCAAAGAAAGTCTCGCTCTATCTGAAGCTTGGAAATAATAGACTGGTCAGGGCTTTATTAATATTAATAGTGTATAGCCATGGGCCCAGGATTACTAATAACCTTATAATTAGTATCATAGCATAAAACCCAGCACACTCATTTAAAAAAAGATTTCTGAAAGAAGATGATCAGCAACTACAGATTGGGAGCCTAACCTGCCGTGTCATGCCCACCGTTCTATAACAGGGAAAGGGAGAGATATAACAATGAACTCATTTTGGTGACAATCTTTCTGGAGAAAGGCAGGATAGGGAGGGTCTCTGCTTCAAGATGACATATGTGATAATAGAATGTCAGAATCCAGAATGGTCTGTCATCAGCAGTACCTTGGAGTACTGCAGACCCGCCTGGCTGTCTGATTGCTGAGGAGGTTGAGTCTGCAGTACTCCACAGTACTGCTGGTGACAGACCGGCCAGCCTAGCTCATTGGCAGTACTTGGAGAGGCAGACATCAAGTCAATGAGGGCAGGGATTCTTCCCACTTGGCTTCTATTAATCGTGTAAGTCAAAGCCCAAACAGGAAATGTTGTTCCAGATAAACAATCAGCAGGAAGCTTGCCTGCCAGTTAGCAACGCGATTTTAATAATAATAATCCTTGCATTTGGTATAGCGCTTTTCACGTCGGGAGGACGTCCCAAAGCGCTTAACAGAACACACTGTAAAGTGAATTGACTGTATATTTGTGGGCGAACGCGGCAGCCAATTGCGCACAGCAATGTCCCACAAACAGTCATAGATTGAAAATGACCAATTTATTATTGTTTTTGGTTTTGGAGGGATTATTATTAGGCGTGTGGAGTAAGGAAACTTGCGCAAGGTTTCGCCCTGCCTGGAATTGAACTCAGGTCTCTCGCTTGCAAAGCGAGTGCTCTAACCACTGAGCTACAGGACTCCACGAACCATTTAGCCATTTTAGCCACATGGTGTCCTGTAGCTTAGTGGTTAGCACACTCGCCTCGCAAACAAGAGGACCTGGGTTTGATTCAGAGGAAGCTTTCTTACTCCACATGCCTGTTTACATAGCAGTAAGTAGGAACCCGGAACAATGGTGATGGGTGTCAGCGTGCGTCAGCCAGCAAAACAAATTCTCATGTAGATATCTGTTTTGGTTTTCCAGAGCTCTCAGGAGAGGGAGAAATTTTTCAGGATATTCTCCCCCTAATTTTTTTTGTTTTTTTGCCTTTCCTGAGAGTTTTCACTTCATTTGATGGCCTCTAGGCCTTTTATCACTCCATTTGCCACAGTTCCATGATTTCCTAAATTTGGTCATTCTTGCTTTCAGACTGACATAGAGTGAAACAATGGTGCGGGAAAGAAGAGAGAAACTTCAGTTTTAGTCTTTGAAAAGACTAAACTTCAGTCCAGACCTAAGTGTTTTATTTCGTCATTCATGGAGAGCGAAACATGTGCAACATTCACCTGGGTGGTGTCCTGCTCCATCCCTATACAAGAAATTAGCCGCAGTTCAGCAACGTGCAGTTATAAAGCACCTTTTAAGTGGGTGAATGTTTTGAAACATTTCAGACAACAAAGAATAGCAAACCGGGAGGGGTGAGAATTTAAGTGTGTTGACCAAGAGGTATGCATTTAAGAGGGTTTGAAAGCGTAAAGGTATTTTAGAAAAGCTGAAGAGATTTTGGAGTGAGTTCCAGAGAGCAAGGACACAGTGCCTGACACTCTGCATAGAACCAAAGGCGATGACAGAGAGAGAGGGGCAAGTCCATGAATGAAATGGATACTTTGAACAAAAATCTTTTCAACCTCACTGTCATTAATGAGACTCATTTTAAAACATAATATTGTGCAAAAATGCAAAACTACTGAAATAACATCTCAAACGAATAGTAGTTTTACGGTCAACCAGCGATTTGCAAAAAATCTTCAGCTGGAAGTACACCACATGAGCACCATTCAATTCAGTTACTTACATAATGCATAAGTTTGCTTCATCTTGTAGCATTCTCGATGTCAACTCAGAATATTGTGGTTTCAAGTCTTGCACTGGGACTCGAGCTCACTGTGCAGGTTGACTGCACAGTGAGCTCAAGTCCCAATGCAGTGCAGTTCCCTCAGAACACCTCCCTACAGTTGGGAGGTGTCATCTTTCAAAAGACGTTAATAATAATAATCCTTGCATTTGATATAGCGCTTTTCACGTCGGGAGGACGTCCCAAAGCGCTTCACAGAACACACTGTAAAGTGAATTGACTGTATATTTGTGGGCGAATGCAGCAGCCAATTGCGCACAGCAATGTCCCACAAACAGTCGTAGATTGAAAATGACCAATTTATTATTGTTTTTGGTTTTGGAGGGATTATTATTAGGCTCTGTGTGGAGTAAGGAAACTTGCCCAAGGTTTCGCCCTCTGCCTGGAATTGAACTCAGGTCTCTCACTTGCAAAGCGAATGCTCTAACCACTGAGCTACAGGACTCCACGTTAAACAGAAATTAAATTGTCTTCTGGTGGATGTGAAGATACAATTTAACAAGGGAAGTTTCCATTGTCCTTACCAAATTAAGTGGTTATCACCTCATTGCTGTTTGAGGGACTTTCCTGACATTGACTGTTGTACACAAGTGCGATTCAACTTGATGAAAATGCAAATTCTAACTTGTTTTTGTATTTGCAAATGTTCATTATTCTTGTAATGGTGTGAGCGCCTTCCATTCTCATTGTTTGTGTCAGTTGGTTATTGAGCAATTCGCTTACTGCTTTTTGCCTTTCCTTTCAACATGGGCGTCCTGCGGCTTCAGTTAGCATAACCGTGGGGCCCACCTCCACTTCTCATATGAAAAACTGACTTCCAAGTGGTCAGATTGGTGTCATCACTTTGTTTGCACATATGCAGTACGTACCACTGAAATCATTTCATAATAATAATCCTTACATTTGGTATACTGCCTTTCACATCAGGAAGGCATCCCGAAACACTTCAAAGGATATACTGTAAAGTGCAGTGAGTGCGTTTTGTGGGCAAAATGTTCACATTTATGTACATCAGTCACTTATCCTGCACATAGTACACATGATGTGACGTTAGCAGTGACCTGGCTATTTGTAGTACTGTAAAGCTCTGAGCAAATGGACCTAAACAAACAACTGCACTGTAACAGGGTTACCCTATATTAACTGATTGTTACACTTCGGAAGGTAGATAATGCTTTCATTTGATCTCAAGGTCCTCACAACATTCAAGTCTTCAATAGAATCATTTGATTAATGTGCAGCCATATAACTCCTACTCATATTACACAACAGTATTGTCAATAGACCATAATAGTACATTTAAATCTGTTTTATGGTATTCCAAAACTGGTTGGTCGAAGGAAACAATTGTGTTCCTGCTGATTTATCACAATTAGCACAATTGTCAGAATAAATCAGTGGTAGTCTTTTGGGAGGTCGTGGCAAAAATCAGATACCACATATCACAATACATTGTAATACTGACACCTCCACATGAGATGGGGACTGAAATTAATGTTGCTTTAACTAATATTTTTGTACTCTTGCTAAATTCAGGAGATTCCTGAGGCTGGGAAAATAGCTAAAATCACTCTATAAAGTGTCAAGAACAATACCTGGAAACTACAAGGCAGTACATTTCACATCAATTTTAGAGAAAAACTTTGGAGAGATAGAAGGCGAACAGCTGGAAATGAATAACATCTTTAAATGACTAGGATTCTGAATTCAGGAAAGGAAAATCATCTTCAGCTAACCGCCTGGAATTTGTTTTGAAAGGAATTACTGATATGGTTAACAAAGGCAATGCTGTTATCACACAACTTGGATTTTCTGAAAGGTTCGCTAAGTGCCCATTCAGACAAAAACTGGTTTAAAGAAGGAAACACATGGTAGCCAGAAATTGAAACTTTTCAAGCTAGAAAGAGGTTGCAAGTGAAACCTCTAATAATTTTGATTAAAAAATATGTCCAAGTGTATTCTAAGCAAAATCATAATGCTTATAGATGACAATAACCAAACAGGAAGAAACCAAATGGTGATAAATTTATTCAGATTTTGCATTTGAATATTTGGGGTAGTTGGGCTTTTAAATAGAACATGTGGTTTAAGATTGGAAGTATAATATGTATAGTAATGTGGAATAAGGAAGTGTGGGAGTGTCATCCGTTGAACCTTGTGCTGATCAGGATAGAGATCTAAGATTATTGTGGATAAATCAATGGGACAATCATTCCAGTGTTTTATAGCACTAAAAAAGGCAAATAGGATATTTTGCTGGCATGATAAATAGATACGAGGTTAGATTGAATAAGGCCTTTGTCAGATCTGGAAAATAACATACAATAATCTTAGAATGTAAATGACTGCCCTTGAGCAAACAAACAAATACTAGACCTTAGTTATGAGACATGGCTGAAAAGCTGAGCTTGATCTCTGGGAAAATAATTGCAAGATGGTTGATTGCACATTTAAAAATTTATGAGGGACAAGGAATGATCTAGCAACTTGTTCACCATTGTAAAAGATATAAACACATAACAGAAATGTGGAAGTTGAGAGTAAGAAGGGAAGGAAGCTGTAACTGTTTTTACATAATTTTTAATCAATTGTGTAAAAAGAGTTGTGTGGAATGAGTTACTGTGAAAGGTCACCAAAATTATCTAAATGGATTCGAAAGACAACTCAACGTGTTTCAATAAAAATAATAGATTGAGGATTGTGAAACGAATGTTAAAGATCATCAAAAATCATTGGCCTGCTGGTCCCTTTCCTGCCCTAAAAAATCTTAGTCTCTTCTGTGTAATTATTACAAGTAAATATTTGTACAAATGGATTACTTCAGACCTGGTCCCAAAGTTAATGAAAATAAAATTTAAATAGTTAAGTGGCATACTTTAGTATTACCTGGCACAACTCTAGATGTTTACCAATTTAAATCACACATTTGTATGGGAAAGTTACAAAATTACTTTATTAAAAAGTCTGAGATATGTTCTGGCAAAACAAAAAGGGTATTGAAGCAACATATTGGGTTGCATCAACCTGACGTTTTCTTGCACAGTGAAAAAGATCGTCTTAGAATCCACATATTATTTCTCTGTAAATTTAATTTGTAATATATAGTATCTATTTACATCAGTGTGCATTATAACAGTATCTAATTTCCCTAGTTTACCAATACATTGGAAATTCATCTGACTGCATAGCACATCATTTAAGTATTATTGCCCAGTTTAATAGGGAAAACAAGTGTGGGAAAGGTGTTGCATCAAATTTTAGCTCACTTTATTGTTCTTGTTGAGGATGGGATCTTCAGGGGAGGGAGAAGTTGTCATCTTATAAAATGTATCTCAAACTATAATCTGTGACAATAACTTGATCTGAAAGGAATTTCTTCTCATTATTAGTTACTACAGCAATCACAACACAGACTTTTTTTTTAAAGTAAACACGTTTCTAATACAAGTTACCAATAAAAAAGGACTAGAGGGCTAAATATAATGGAATTGATTTTCCCTTTCCCCTTTTACATTCTAAACAGCAAAATGTTTCATCCAGACAATTCATAAAAACTGTAGTACACGGATTTTATATTTATGAAGTGAAGGCCTGAGTAGGTGGGGAACGGAAAACAGTCAAAAAAGCCTGAGAAGGAAAAAAAAGCTCAGATTCGATCCACTAATTTACAATAATTTACAGTAGTATATCTTCAAAGGCATTACACAATTGATCACCAACAAAACAACAACCCTGCTATTTTACAGATGTAAGTACAGAATTTAAATATTCAAGCTTGCTGAGAACTGGCAATGTGGTCGCAGTGTAAAATGTAAACAGTCTCAATACAAATAGCTTTGGAAGGTGAACCCGAGTCCTCTGCTTTTTCAAGTTTACATTTAGACTCCGTTCCTAAACTCCTGCATAATCGTGCGATCAAACGCGGGTCATTTACATTTTCTGTCGTTCTTCAAAACATTATTCAGGTCAGTTGGGCCGAAAAGCCTCCAGATTGTTGGGAGGGTGAATACTTATGATCCAGTGTGTTTGGGGCAGTGTTCAATTATATGCAGTAGTAAACATGTCCATCTCTGATTTAAAAAAACAGGAAGAGAAAATAAGACAACATGCCACGGTATGTAGCACAGTGCAGCATTAATCTCGATACAAAAATATTTTCTTCTTATGAGATATCAACCTTGCAACCTATAAGGAGGAGCAACAATACTGCAAGTAGCAGCTCTCGTCTGCATGTTTTAAGTCACGTAAGGCATTTACTGTGTTCTTTTTTTATGGCTGCATTGGGTGAAGACATGGCATCACTCGTCCTGTTATGTTTTACGGCTGTTCCAGGTGTGCTCTGGGGTGCTTTTGTGATCGGAAGAGTAATCAAGGGGGGATCTGTGTTCCAATGGTGATCTGGAGTCATAAGGGGACCTCTGATCCAGGGGGGACCTTGGGCCACTACTTGATGGCCTATGGTCCACTGGCCAGTCTGAGTGGTACCTGTAATCCCTGGAGGATTTCTGGCCTGAGTATTCTGAGCTGGATCGATGATCTGAATGGGATCTGTAGTCTGAACTGGATCGATGATCCAAATGGGATCTGTGGTCTGAGCTGGATCGATGATCCAAATGGGATCTGTAGTCTGAGCTGGATCGATGATCTGAGTGGGACCGGTGGTCTGAATGGGATCTACTCTCCTTCGAACTGGCCTCTGACCGGTGACCCCGACTCCTGTGTTCATCAAGCTTCCTGTGCTTATTTTCACTGTAGTACCTGTGAAAGTTGCAAAGTATCAGGCTTTACTTTCTGGGTGCACATAAGCAAGAGCTCCCAAGAGAACTCAAGTTTTGACACAATTTTAACACCTTAGCGCGATAGCACCTAAACCACTGCTCGATTCAGCTCTTCATTCTGGTTGTTCTATTGCTCCTGCGGGCTCAGACCTTCACCCAGACTTACCCATGAAAAAACACTAATCTTTAACTGTCTGCCAAGAGCTTTTTTTAAGAATAGTTAAAATTCCAACTTTAATACTGTATAGGGCCTTGGTGAAACTGGACCAAGAATATTGTGTACAGTTTTGGTCTGCTTATTTAAGAAAGGACATACTTGCCTTAGAGGGGATGCAGCGTAGATTCACTAGGTTAGTTCCTGGGATGAGGGGGTTGACCTATGAGGATGGGTTGAGTAAACTAGGCCTATATTCTCTAGAATAGAGAAGAATTAGGGGTGATCTTATAGAAACGTATAAGATTCTTATGGGGCTTGACAGAGTAGACAGTGCAAGACTATTTCCCCTGGTAGGAGAATCTAGAACTAGGGGTCACAGTCGTAAGATTAAGGGTCAGCCTTTTCGAACAGAGTTGAGGAAACACTTCTTCACTCAGAGGGTAGTGAATTTATGGAATTCTCTACCCCAGATGGCTGTAGATGCTCAGTCCCTGAACATATTCAAGACTGAGATTGATAGGTTTCTAAAGGATAGAGGGATTAAGGGATATGGGGATAAGGCAGGCAGATGGAGTTAGGTTAGAAGATCAGCCATGATCTTATTGAATGGCGAGGCAGGCTCGAGGGGCCTAATGGCCTAATCCTGCTCCTAATTCCTATGTTCCTAATACAAGTATCTTAAATTTTAGCAACTAAGTGATCTATTACCCTCTGTACTACAATACTGCCAAAATACAAGCAAAACCCAACACCACCATACAACAGCTATAATTAAGAAAGTATTAAGAAACACAATAGGTTAATTTTTGACCCAATACATTACCAAAATTTATACTACCTTGAAAGACAAAAGTGCAGTGACTGCAACCTACCTGCTATCTGATCGGTAATGATCCCGGTCTCGGTGGTCTTTGCCATTGCTAAACGAGGAATACGGTCTCTTTCTTGATGAATCACTGTGATGCTGATCTCTATGGTGGTCATGATAATGTGATGAGTGGTGTCGGTCAGATGAATGGCTTTCCCTACTGCTGTCGTCGTTGTGAGAATTCTCCCTCGGCTTTTCAGGTTCTGTTTTAATTTAAAAAGTTTTCATTTAGAGGAGTATCAAAAGTTATCCCAAAATGCCAATTTGATAAAGCGCTTCCACGTTTGCAGTGATGAGAGTGGTTTATCAATTCTGCATTTCAAGTACATGAAGATGGTTCATCCACTTCAATTTTGACCTTTGCTTTGGGTCTACCTGAGGAGTTCATGCTCTTCGCAATGACAGTGAAAAATCTGCCTTTTCCATCCAAATGTTCGCGTCTCAAATAAGTGACTGATACTGAGGTGCAGTTTGTAATAAACTTGCATCTGGCCTTTCACATCAGGAGGATGTCTCAAAGCACTTCAAAGGATATACTGTTAAAAGCAGTGCAGGTGTACTGATGTATTTTGTGAGCAAACGCAGCAGCCAATTGAGCATAGCAATGCCTCACAACCAGCCACAAATGACCAATTTTATTTGGGGCATTGAGGACACTGAGAGAATCTCTCTTCTCTTTTCAAATAGTGCCATAGAATCATTAATGTCCACCTAAATAGACAAACGAGACCTCAGTTTAACATCTTATTTGAAGGACTGCACCACTGACAATACAGCACATCCCCATCACTACAATGGATGTCAGCATAATGAGTTCTAAGTGAGGCTTTAACAACCTTCTTACTCAGAGGCGAGAGTGGTACCACCTGAGCAAGGCTAACACACCTAATTGAGCCAGACTGGTATTGTATTTAGTTATAATTCAACACCTCGCCCAAGTGCCTAACCCAAAGACAAATGTCAGCAGGTTGTATAACTGTGTGGATAAAAACAAGAGGAACATAATCAATGTCTGTATGTACAGATTTTACAGCAGTGGCCAGTAGTGAGATCAGCTAGCGAGTTATTGTGCCTCTCCCCTATACCAGGTAGCACCCCTGCTGCTAACCCTAGCTAATATCAGCTAACAACACAGGCCAGTATCAACCCTGAGACGAAATAAAATAAAAAGTTGCCAACAACATACCTGAGTGTTTGGCATTGTGAATGTTGAGAGTACTGCTGTGCTGGTCATTATGCTGTGGACAGAAAAGACAGATAAGGAAACCTAGACAGTACAGACAGGAGAGGCTGTTTGTTCGGATTATATATCAATCTTCTTATAGACAACTCAAATTAAACAACTCTTACTAATCTGATACAGAAAAGTAAAATACTCTTTAGGAAGTGCAAAATTGGGATTGTTGTTTTGACAGTGGTGTCACTGGGTTTAGTGTGTTAGTGCCAAGAAGTTACTGGCACAATATGGGGAAATCTAAAGAAATTCTGTTTAATGTGGTGCTTACATGCTTCTTGGGAGATGCAGGTTCCATCCCTCCCTCAACCCAATGCTCAAAATGCTCTCTCCAAACAAGTTTGAAAGCACAAACTCTCCAATTAAATTTATTATGGATTTTACCCAATTTAATAATAGTAATAATTTATTCCATTTCCGAGCACGTAAATTTGAGCAAGGTATTGAATCTGTCTCACTCTCTCTCACCCCAGCATTTCATAAATTAATTTAAAGATTTCCAATTATGTCAGTTTTTTCTCCTCCCCATTAATATAATTTGTTGAGTAATATAACTTATCAATTTAAGATGTAGTCCAATGGCTCTAAATTGAAAAGTTTTGGGGGTCAACCAGATGTGTGACAGGTGTAGAAACCCATCACCATGCTTAAGAGTATCCAAACCAGACTTAGAGCCACATATGGAAATGTCCATATCTGGAATGGATTACACATTCTTCCCTGGAATGACACATCCTTTCTAATTCTGGAATATGAGGTGCAGGTTGGCAAGAGATGAGGCCTGAGGATCCCAGTGTGTGTTGGTGCTACTCGAGCCTAGCCAGCTCAATCCGTTTGCCACTGAGAGCAATGTCTGGCAAGTTCCCCATTGGTTGTCCAGCTAGGACCTGTTAGGGCCTTGGCTTACAGTGTTAACAGGAGATGAGTGGGAAAACTCTCTACTTCCGATGTAGAGACATTTTAAGACAACTTCATCTTTTGAGAAGTTTTACTTGCAGAAATATGGGCCAACAACAACTAACATCTTCACGCAGAGTAACATCTGGGAGCGGTTTACAAAGACAGAGTGGGAGATTGATGAGGGGGTAGGAGAGAAGTGACTGTAGACAGTTGAAGACCATAATCCTTTGAAGACTAACAGGTTAAATTAAGCCCTTATAAGAAAATGCTAGATGATCTACAATGGGGAAGGGGGGGGACTGATAGGTTCAATGGCCTTTCTTATTCCATATTCTATTATTATCTCAACACCATAACCAATTTTTGAATGTGGCTTTGTAAATACATGCTCATTCAGCCAGGTCAGTCATGGGAACTACTAAATTCCAAAGTGCTCTCATACCCGAGAGTTCTCCAGTCTCTTCTTGATCGCATGCTTGTACAATTTGTGCAGTTTTCTTGCGTCAAATTCAGTGAACTTTGAAACAAAAATCCATAGATTCCTAGAAATGAAATACAGATTTTTATGAATTAACCAAAGCTTATTTCTTCCAATACGAAAACACTAATAAAACACTTGAGTTAAAGTCGAACATTCTGTTCAATGTTATCTGCAGTAGTTTAAAAAGTATTAATATAAACTGTACTTGTGAACCATTGAAATTAGGCATCCCTGTAACCCACCATCCTCAACATCTAACCACTCCAGTGAGGTGCCAGAGTTACTGACTTTAGTTTGATAGAGGCATGTGATTTGGAACAGCCAATAAGCCAATGCAGAGCTCTCTGATGCTTACATAGCTCAACTGTGATGAGGCATATCATAACTCTGATGGATATGCTCAAGTCTGATGAGTTCCCATCAATTTTATTGCACTCAAGCAAATACTTATCCAGTCATTGTTTTTTTAAGAAAATCGATGATGCACCAACAATTTAGTATTAAACTAAATGTCTAACCTCTACTTTCTGAGCCTTTGAGCTTCAAATCTGTAAAGTTCGGAATAATCTGTATCGCTCTTCTCTGAACCCTTCATAACACCCCCTTGACCATCTGCTTAATTGGTGCAGATCATCCCAAATACGGTTTATGCTCATATTATTCATCTGCTCACAAACCTTGGCATGAGATCATCAAACTGTATGATGATGCCAAAATTACGCTCCTCCAGGTCATTTAAGTTTACTTCAGCCAAGCTTTTTTCAGTGAATTCAGAGATGCGACTCCTCACTCTAAGATGCCTCAAGGAAGTGATAAGGTGTTACATCAAATGAGCACGTCACCCCAGTAATAAGGGTCCTGGCATATGAGCAGCAAGCATCAAGTTGTCCTAAATATTATTTCCTGGTTATGGGCAACTTTGCAGGTGGTCTACAGTTTAGATGTTTCTGAAATTGGACTATACTTTGTGACTGACTCTCCATCTGAGTTTCTGTTGTTTTCTTTCCTTCACTTCCTGTTTTTGCCTCCCTGAGGCTTGTTCTTTGTGTGTGGTACGCATGAGAGAGACTGTTTGTGTGTCAGTCTTTCCCCGTGAGGGTAGAGGAAGGAAGTGAAGAAGGGGAGAGAGGATACAATGTCTTACTTTCTCCACTGTTTGATTTGTTCAGGGTTTGAGTACTCCTTCAGACACTCGGTAATGTGGTCACCTATTTTGATCAAGCACTGCCTGGTGTGCTCCAGCTGCTCCTTTTCTGAAAGACCCTTCTCAGGCCTGTCCAGCTGTTTCAGTGCTGCCTTCACAGGCCTCATCCTTTCTTTACACTAGAAAACAAAGTGTATGTTTATGATCAACTCATGTGTACCCTCCCTGCCCTCCACGCCTCCTGATCCCAACTCTCAGCTCGGGTCCAAATTCCTGACTGTCCAGTGTCTTCGGACTTCCTCCCGATGTGAAAGGTTACAAATGTGAAATTACAAATGTAATTTGTTGTTGTTTGTTTAATAGCCAGGGGTTCATGCTATTGATTGCCATCCAATGACTTCTGCTAGAAAGTCGTGTGTGTCAGTTTGACTCAGAGAGTATGTCAGCACTCTTGCTGTGGAGTAGAAGGTTGTGGGATCAAGCCCCATGTCAGGACTTGGAACTCATATAATGTAACTGACACTCCAATGCAGTGGTGGGGTGTGCTACATTCTTGGAGATGCTATCCTTCAGATGAGATGTTAAACCGTGTTCCTATCTGAATGTTCAAGTGAATATTAAGATCCCATATTCGAAAAGGGAGTTTCTCCCAGTGTCCTGGCCAACGATACCCCAAATCAAATTAATTATTCACTTAATGGCTGTGGTGGGACATCGCTGTGTGCAATTTGGCTGCTGTGTTCATCCACAAAACAGTCACTCCACTTGTGAAGCGCTTTGAGACATCCTCTCGCTGTGAAAGGCACTAAATCAAATGCAAGGACTATTTATTATTATTGAGTCTCCTAGAAATGCAAGAACGAAGCTCAGATCTGCAATCTCAGCAGAACTGAAGTCTCACAACCCTGTGTGATGGTCCTAGAGAATCCCCAGAGGAAATGCTTCAGGGGCAATTTTGCTGGCATCCATTCGATGATGCTGCTGCTATACAATGCCTTTCAAAAGCATAGTGTAAGCTGGAAAACATACTCCACTAATGACTCACTTGCAGGGTCACACATCAATTTAGAGCACATGCCCACTGACAAGCATCTTTAAATTGGGGGCAAAGAAAAGTCTGCGGAATAGATTCAAATGGGCCCATTTCCCAGGAGAAGCAGAGCATCAATGTGCACATTGGGAACAATCCCTGATGATAATCAGCACTTATACTTACAATACTAAATGTATTTTGATCAAGCTCTTCCGCTTCCTCGGCAATGGGAATGGGCTCACTGCTTGCAGTGATATGAACTGGGACGTCAGCAAGCAATGGCTTCTTAGACTTCTCCTTCATCTCCATTTTAACTTCAGTTGCCTGCACCAACCAAGGTTATCATCATTAATATCAACAGTCAAAAAAAACACCTGAAACATACTTTGTTATTCACTAAACCAGTTTACCTTTTCTTCTTTCACTTCTTTTTCTCTATGTACAGATTCTTTTTCTTTCATTTCTTTCTTGTCTTTGATATCCTTCTTGATATCTTTTTCTTTTGCATCTTTCTTTTCCTCCTTTTCCTTTTTGTCCTTTCTACCTTCTTTTTCTTTAGCCTCTTTTTTGATTTCCTTTTCTTCCATCTCTTTCTTGACTGCCACTTCATGATCCACTCTTTCCTCATTTTCTTTTTCCATTTTCGATTTCCTTTTTGAGGGTTTTGTTCCAGGGACGTCATCCTGAAGGGAAAAAAGAGTAGAAAATGTTAAGAAACCCATGACGGAGAAAAAGCACAGCAGTTATGGAAGAAAAGATCAATGTTTGCCACCTGCCAAACCATAGAAATTTATAGTGCAAGAGGCCATTCAATCCATTGAGTCTGCACCAGCTCTCAGAGCAAGCAATAGACAATCCTCATGTATAACCGTGCAATTAACATTAAGTGCACTTTCTACTGTTGTTGTTGTCGGACTTGATAACCCATTTCATTATCTACCTGCCCAATACACAAAGCAATGCTATATTGAAGGAAGTTGATATAATCCAGTCATCTTGTGTATTGTAATCACAATGGAATATCTCCCCCCGCCCCCAACACAGATTAGATCACTGCTTGGATATGTTCAGTCGTATTGGGGGAGGGGTGGAAGGATCTTATACAGATATTTTAGGCTCTATTCCATAATTGAAGAAACTACAAATAACACATTTATGTTTTGCAGACAAAACACGACCAGTTTCAGTTAAATCATTCAACCTTCCAATTCCAGTAAAATCATACTGAGGCAATGCTACAGTGAATATAAATGGGTAAAATATGCCAAAGAGTATGATGATGACATACAGNAAAAAATGCACCTTTGTACAAGCTTTAACATTTTTGGAAGAGGAAATTTTAGATATAGTAATATCACATTGCATAAAAAGACATTTCTGACACCATGAAAAAGCACAATTAACAGCTCAGCAAATTCATAAGTTAGTTTTTAGAATGATTCAAGCAATTCTAATAAATAATAACGCTTGTATTTGTCAAAACAACTCAAAAGCACTTCACAGAATTTACAGTAAATTGTAGTGACTGTGTATTTGTAGGAATGTTCCTGTTCAAAAAGATCTTGTGTTTCATTTGCAATAGTTGAATATCTACCTTGATTTCTCCTTCTTCATCTGAGCTTTTGACTGAGGGAGGTGGTGGAGATGAATCACTTTTAATTTCTTCCACCTTCACAACTTTTACAGCCTTACTTCTTTTATTCCTCGGCTTCCTTTTTTTTGAATTAGCCTTTTTAAAAAAACATAGAAAACCAATAAGTTTATTATGTTCAATATTTGTCTAATATGACTATCTCAATAAAACAATTCGGATTATTTTTGAAGACACATAACATCGAAGAGCTTATTTGCTGGGTGACAAATCAGACGATTATTCTACATATAGCCAAGATTATCAAAGCAGGTGTCAGCCTGACTCAGTCTCGTCTGGGTCAGAATGCTGTGGCTTCAGATCCCACTTTGGGCTTTTAAGCTCACTGTCTAGGCTGACATTAAGTGCAGTGTTGGCAAAGTGCTGCATTGACGGAGGTACACGTCCTCTACTGTACCTATGGTCAATTTAACCCCTGCTTCTCCCTTGCTCAGTGTCTATTATCGCCATTGTGCAATTCTCTGAGACTCTATCCTGCATGAAGGGCGCTATATAAATGCAAGTTGTTGCTCTTTGGATAAGCCTTTAAAACAAGGCCCCATTTGCCTGTTGTTCATGTGGATGTTAAAGATCCCAAGACACTCTTCAAATTAAGATGGGAGTTTCTCCTGATGTCCAACAATCCTCCAGAAATTTTCTGATCAGGGGAAAACTAAGGTTCCACGAGAATTCACTGTAGAGTTCCACACAAAATACTTGTTTCCAGATTGCCTGTATTCAGCAAGCAGAACGTTGATGTATTGTAACAAAGGACTGAGACTGTGCACAGATAACTGAATATCATTTCCGTGGAGATATGACTAAAATCTCTTTGCATTTAGTGATTTTTTTTAAAAAATGCCCTTCCTTGTCCACCTGCTCTGGTTGAGTCTGTTCTCAAGTTGCAGCTAAGATGCTATGCAACCAGGTTACAGGAACCATAGATTGCTTACAGACCCAGAAAGTCATTAATCCTACCCTCACCACTCCCACACACACTTTTGATAATTTTATGTACCTCAGCCAGCCTCTGTGCCTCCTTCCTGGCCAGGTCTTTACTGAGCAGTTTGATGAGGTAGTCAGCTCTGGTCTGCAACTGCTTGGCCTGCGGCTTCTTATCTGGATCATCAGGCAGAATCTGATGAGAAAGAATAAAATAATAAAACAAGAGCAATATCATGGTTATCACTGCACAATTTTTGACAGGGGTTTAGTTTGCTATATAAATGCAAGTTGCTGCTTTATGATACAGGAATGTATTCCTTTCCTTTGTATGTAAAACAAAAGGCGTACTTTCTACAAAATTACTTTTGGGACATATAGCCATGATCACAGGCATGAGCTGGACTGGAAAACGAAACACAACTCAGATGATTCACAGATTGACAGTCTGACTGGACAGTTGACTGGATTTCAACTCCCGCGAAATGGAAGTGTGGCTAACCATTTATAAGAGAATGCACTAACTTGTAACCAAAGCAGTACAATTCATTTTAGTATTTGTATTATTTATAACATGCAGTCATACAGTAACATTTTCACTGGAACAGAAAAGTTTGAGAGGATTTAACAGAGATCTTTAAAACTCTAAACAATTTTGAGAGCATAAATAGTGAAAGATTATTCCCACTAATTGGTAATGAGGAGGTATACAGTCACAATCATCACTGTAAGAGTTAAGGTTAATATTCAATCAACCAAAGGCTTATGAAAACATGAATTATTTGCCACGTATGATTGATTATTAAATAGCATTATTATTAACTGCATTTACAAGAGAATTGGATTGTAAGAGGAAAATCATAAAAGCACGTAGAAAGAGCAGGGAACTGAGTAATAATAAATAATCCTTGCATTTGATATAGCGCCTTATCATGTCTTTGAGACGTGTCAAAGTGCTGCACAGAATATACCATAAGGTGATTTGACTATTTTGTGGGAAAAACGCGGCAGCTGATTGCGCACAGCAATGTCACACAAACAGTCGTGGATTGAAGTGACCAATTTATTATTTTATTTTTTTGAAGGAATTATTACCCCTGGAAAAGCGATCCGCCAATCGACTAAAACTGGGTTCCTACTTACTGAGGCGTGTGGAGTAAGGAAACTTGCCTAAGGTTTCACCCTGCTGGGAATCGAACCCAGATCTCTCGCTTGTGAGGTGAGTGCTCTTAACCACTGAGCTACAGGACTCCACATAGTAGATAGTTCCAGTAAGAGTTAGCATCAGTACAGGCTCAATCTTCAGAATGGTTTCCCCCTACACTGTAACTAACCTATGATTCTCTGTAGATGTATTCAGCTTTACAAACAAGATTGACATGTACTTAACATCTTTAACTAAAATCATCAGAGCTTTTCCATTGCATGCAATGCAAGTTGATGCTCATACAGTTATTTGTAATCTATCTAGCTCTATGATGGTCAAAGGCCAATTTTGTACCTTGTGCGTTAAATTCAGATCTGGATCCATCTTTATCATTTCCCAGCTGCCATAGCCATACTCATAGATGCCTATTAAAAGGTTAGAGTCATCCTCCTTGTTCCAGTCCACGTCAAAATGAGCTGCTTTAGTGTGACTTGGGATTGTGTACCTGTAAGGAGAGAAAAGGGGGAGGGGGGGAAAGCATTCACAAATCAAAAACAGATAAATGCAGCACATTTCAGAGCTTAACCTACTTCTCATATCTAGCACTCATCTCCTATAACTATGAGATTACTGGAGTTTATAGTGAACGTCTTCATAGAAACGGTCAAGCATCACAGAATTTCTGTGAAATATACAAGAGGTTGGTTGGTCAGTTTTTTCTTTTAAAACAAATCTGTTGATTATGTTACAGCATCTAAGAGTAAGGCACAAAGTTATTGTTGGTGTACATGATGTACGAAATAAGGCATATTTTGGTTTGTACATCAGTGTCTGTAACTAACTTTTAATTGCAGACCGCAATGAATGCCCAATTCCTGCTCCAATGATAGACAATACATTGGTCTAAACCTACCAATCCCCACACTTTGGGTTTTTGACTTCAACCAATCCATCATGAGCAGTTATCACAGAGGCCAGCTTCAAGACATACATCTAATGTGAAAGGCGTGAATTAAATGAACATTTTTGTTTCCTCTTTACCTGAACTCACTCCCCAATCAGTAATAGAAGACACAACATGCACCCACATAATGACATGTCACAATATGTCTGAACAACAGAAGGTCACATCTACAATACTGTGTGGAAACACCAGATAGGGCAATGCTCACCACAGGGACAGAAGGAATATCTGACAAGGTGGCATTGGCAGAATTGAGCACATTACATGCATGAACTCAAGAGAAATATTTGTGGAGCAGTGAGAAAATAAAACAAGCTGCTAAAACCTAAAGCCATTAAGGGCTAGGAAGGAAAATAAATAAATATTTTAAACAAAACGCAAAATACTGCAGATACTGGAAATCTGAAACACAAACATTATGCTGCACACAGAATAGAGGCATATTTAAAAAAAAAGATCAGGACCAAACAGATCTGGACATAAATCTTTATGAACAGTCTCAAAAGACTGAACAGATTTAAACAACGGTTAGGAGGTTTAAAATGTCAAGAGATCAGTCCTGTGCCTTTAATTGTTCTGCCCTAGAATATATGAGATTACAAAACACAACAGACAAGTTTTTTTGGTAAAGCCAATAAAACAAAAGTACGACAAACACTTGCTATACTCAAACATCTGGCTAAGTACAAGTTACAAAGGGAAAACCTAACGAAAATGTGTAAAGGATGAATGCAAATAACTTCTATAAAGTATATAATCCCAGTTCTGGTGAGTAAAGTAATAATCCCAGTCTGGTCTTCATCCAATTGAGACTTACTTCTTTCTATCCTCTGGGTCTGGTGAAATGGATTTGTGCAAAGGTGCCAGTTCCTCTTCATGGGCAATCACAAGTTTAGCATTGACCTGCACGCCTGAGATGCGAAATGTAGGTCCTTTCACTTTACCACGACGGGCAGCTGTATGTTTTTTTAAAAAAAGAAAACATCCAGTTTAAACCACATTTCTATTTAAAAAGAAACAGCTTGACTTCCACATAAGCACACATTTCTAAAGTTGTTTTAATATTGTGAGAGGGGGAAAGCCTTTTGATTTCTATGGGTTTAAAGATTTCCATGGATTTAATAGAACAGCCATTACAAGCAGACTGGTAACAGTGTAGATTTTAATCGCCAGAGTGTGGGCTAAGGCAATGTGCTAAAATCTAACAGGAAGTTTGCAAATATCTCTGTGGACAATAAATGCATGCTAAACCAGAAAGGTTGCAAATTCCATCCCTGACTGTGAATTAGCCTATCTCACCCAATCACCACTTATGATTGGATTGGTGTCAGTGTCCCAGGTTAAGGAAGGAAAAATCAGACAAGGAAACAGATTATCATTAGACCCAAATAATAATCCTTGCATTTGACATAGCACGTTATCACGCCACTGAGATGTCTCAAAAGCACTTCACAGGATATATTGTAAAGTGGAATGACTGTATTTTGTGGGTGAAACTTGGCAGCACAGCAGCATTCCACAAACAGTCGTGGATTGAGTGATCAAATTTATTTATTTTTGAGAGGGATTATTACCCACTGAAAGGGATCTGCCAATCGACTAATAACTGGGTTCCTATTTACTGCTAGGTAAATTGAGGCTCGTGGAGTAAGAAAACTTGCCTCTAAGGTTTCACCCCACCCAGGAATCGAACCTGCAAGGCTAGTGCGCTAACCACTCCATAATAATAGGAATCCTTGGAATTTATCTGAAGTAAAGCTGTAAATTGTCTGAAGAGAAAGGTGGGTAGACAATTGGTGAAGGAGGGAAATAAAGCTCTTACCAGTCTTCTCTTGGGCTGTGGATTCTCGAAGTGCTTTAATACATCCATTGTGCACCATCTCTCCCAACCTCCTGAGGTCCACCTCAGATTTATCCACCAGTTCAGCATCTCGTGCAATTGCTTCTAGCCTTTTGATCAAATTGGATTGTTATACCATCAGACTTACAAAAACTGTGGTGGTAATTATTGGGTATTGGGTACAACAACAGTCTGAGGAAAATTAAAATATTTATACCTCTCAAGGGGTCCACCAAACTTCTTGTAACTCTTGATAAACCTAGTGAACAGAAAATGACTTATAATAGCTTGTTTCCTGAATATACATCAAAACTCTGACATTTGGGGAGATGAAAGATTGCTCCAAAAAGGATGTGCACAAACTGCACTTCACACTTCATTAGTATTTCAATAAAAATCAGACTGCATTCAAAAATATATTTCCCAAATATTAAACCCAGAGAGGGAGAAAAAAGAGAAAGGGATAAAGAAAAAAAGAAGCACAGATGGACACTCACATCAGTATGCAGATATAGTGCATTTAAAATATGCCAGTCTGGATTCTCTCAAAGGCTTAATATTTTCTTCTACAAAATTGGGAATCAATTTGAACAAAAAATGCCCCTTTTCAGACTTTCATCCCCCTTTAATATATGGTTTAAACAGCCATGCTCACTGGACTCTACAATACATCGCCTTAGACTGTTCTCCACTGTGACATATGGCACCTTTGCCAACGGCACTGTGCTCACTACATCTCCCCACTGGTGTGAGGCAGGCTGTTCTCCCCCTTGCCACAACATGCTGACCAAGTAAAATTGTTTTATAAGTAATGGATACAGGGAGAGCAGTGAGGAAACACAAGCCAAACTGTAGTCTTAAAATTACTTTGTATTAAGAGTGTATGAATCTGGAACTTACATTAAAAACAATCTTTAAAAAAATAAAATGTTGATGTATTTTGTTTCACATTTCACAAAAGCAAGACCGTCAGAGAACAGAATTGCAATTTTTAATAGGAGTGGTAATCAAACAATCTGCTTTTCTCCAAAATCCAGCATTTGTATAAAACAATACCTTCTAATTTCAGCATCACTGAAGCCTTTAATGTTTTCTCGTGGAATTGTTCGCGGCCGACCACGTTTTTTGGGGCGTTTCCCTTCAGATACTGAGTCGCTGTCTGACTCTGAAGATCTCCTCCTTCTGCGTCTTCCGTCATTTCCATTAAAACTGATCTGAATTGAAGAAATGGACAAACCACATCCAGTACCCAAATATATTAACAAATAATCAATCCATAAATTTAATCACATCCTTCACTGAATCTGAACACACAGCTGCAAGTTTTCACATTTGAGAACACGGTTGTAGATGAGATATTAGACAGTTCTGTTCAATTCCATTTAAACACCTGTTATTGCAACCTAGTGCATGAAATGCAACAGAAGAAAAATGACACTTTACAGCATGCAAACATGTTTCTACAGTACACAGTTTAGCCACTGTGTGGCATTAAGCACATTTAAGAAGTACTAGATACATTACATAAACTTAGAGCTATCAACACTCGATTAACATGCTGGATCAGAGATGGCAAGATTTTAGGCTCCATCGACCTTAATGCTGAAATGGGATGTTGTTAGAGTTGATTTTCTGGAGACACGAGTGTATTCGCCCACAAAATATTCAAATCACTCCACGTTACAGTACATCCTAAGAAATGTTTTGAGATATCCTCCTGATATGAAAGGTACTATACTAAATGTAAGAATTCTGTAACCACAGAATGTTAGTAACAGTGTCCTTTAGTGGGTAAAGAATCATTGACCCAAAACGTTGACCAACTTTTCTTTCTTAATAGATGCTGCCTGACCTGCTGAGTGTTCCCAGCGATCTCTGTTTTTATTTCAGATTTCCAGCACCTGCAGTATTTTGCGTTTCCTTCAGTGGGTAAAAATTATTCTATCACAGCACACAAATAGGAAGCTAATTTGTGTGTATGGGGCAGAATGTTGGAGGCCACAACAACAACAACAAGAAGACTTCATTTATAGAGCGCCTTTCACGTCGGGAGGACGTCCCAAGGCGCTGTACAGTTGGGTCAGGACCCGAGCAGGGGGGAAATGGTCAGGGTGAGGGGAGGGAAGGGAGGGAACGAGGAGGGGGTAGAGAGTCGAGAGGGGAGCTGAAGGCTCGGTCAAAGAGAAAGGTCTTGAGACCGGCCTTGAAGGAGGAAAGGGAGGAGGCGGCGAAGGCACTGGAGGATGGAGTTCCAGAGCCTGGGGGCTGAGAGACTGAAGGCCCGACCACCGATGGTAGGGCGGTTGGGGCGGGGGATGTGGAGGAGACTGGAGCCAGAGGAACGGAGTGTACGGGCAGTTAAGCAGGGGATGGTTTAGCTTTGTTCTCCACATTGCTATCCAACAATAAATAGGGATGAAGTATATTGTGTAAAAGGGAAAGGTAAATTCATTGAGTTGATTATGGCCTGGGCAAATAGAAAAGTGTGGAAATATTTGCCAAACATTGCAGGGAGATTGGAAAATTTTGCAGAGAATTGCTTGACATTTTTGCCAAATTTTACAGAAAATTGGTGGGCAGTTGATTGGTGCTATTGAGGTTCATTTTACCACCAACTTATATTTTTTCATTTTATTAATGAAAAATAAACATGAGGAAACAATACATATTAGATTGCTTATTTAACAAAAACTTGATGGCCTTTTTTTTGGGTGAGGGACACATCAGTGGGACTACAGGAGCTCTCAGGGCCTAGCACCACATACAGACCAAGAGAGATATATACACACTCACAGCTACAGAGACACAGACAATCAGAGTCACTGAGAGAGAGACACACACATACAGAGAGCAAGATACACACTCACAGAGAGACACACATTCGCAGAGAGAGACCCACACTCACATAGAGATAATCAGAAACACAGACCACACATAGGCACACCCATAAACTCAGAGACACAGAAATACTCACAGACACTGACAGAGAGAGAGACACACATACAGACATTCAAACACATCTCTAGAGACATACACACAGGCAATCACCCCGCCACCCCAGGCATACACACAAACACACAGAGACACAGACAATCACAACGGTGGCATTGAGTGAGGCCCATTTGCGGCTTGCGCTGCACCGCGCATGCGAGTCCGGAACCGCCCCACCCACAGTGACATCAGGTAGTCAAGCTAGAAGCTACATTTATAGCAGGTGAGATTGTTTGTGGCATGTTCGATTGGCCCAGGTTATGGCTTGGTTAAAGGAAGAATATTTGCAAAATTTTACACCTGAGGATGGACACTACCAGACACTAACTCCAGTTCAAAAGTGGAGTGACTGAGGCTGATGAGTACACAATGTACTTTATCCCATTTTTTGTGGGACAGAAACTGGACTGCTGTCTTCTTTTTACCTTCAGTAAAGTCTTATGGGGCAATTCATTATCATGTCAGTCAACCAGCAGAACACAATTGGTACCTGCAAGTCCTCATTTGCATCCTGTAGTTTGACAAAGAATTGGACACAAATTGACAGAACATGGTGCATTTACAGGACTGTGTGCACAAGTGCACAAATAGGAAAATAAAAACAGTGAAAATCATGCCTCGAGGCAGAAAAAGCTTTTCCAAGGTACTCTTAGTTTTCCTGTTTCAAGTGCTTTTACAACCCGGGTGTCTTGTACAATCACTCATTGACTGAACACACAATGTTTGCAGTACTTTGCCCTCACAGTCATCGATTGACTAAAAATAATAATTGCACGGGACTTTGTTCTGTAGTCAAACATTGACAGAACACAATATTTGTACAGGACCTGTCCGACATTACCTGTTTGGCACAGTTGCGCATTCGAGGAAGCAAATAGATCTCTTCAAGCTCCTTCTGTCGGGCTTCTTCTTCCATCCTTCTTCTCTGTACCTCTGGAATAATGTCATCCCATTCCTTAATGTTTCGTTGAGGTTCAAGATCATCGTCCATTGTGGTAAAATTCGCCACCTAGTTTGATGGAAGAAGATTACTTGGAAGTCTACAAATTAAATCACTTATTAGCATGATTCAAACACAGAAACCTACACAAACAAAATCAATAGAAATCATAAAGTTATAAGAAGAGGTTCAGGGGGAAGTTGGAGGTGTTCTCTTTGGAAAAAAGATTTCAAAATGACGCATAAATTTATTTTTTCCAATTATGAAAGGGACTGAGAAAATTGATCCTGGCAAACTGTTCATTATGTTAAAGGGTTGAAAAAAAACAATGTTACAAATTGAGTTTCAAATAAGAAGTCAGATCAATAGAACCTTTGACATCCATAAGGTAATGATTTATGGCAGCGCGGGCCGATAGGCAACCCGCGGGCAGCATCCAGCCGAGTGGGTGATTTTCCAACATTCCAATTTCTGCTCCCTCCCTCCCTCCCTCGTGAAAGTCCTCCTATGGCAGCAACAGGAGCCAGCAGTGGATGCAGCACGGAGAGTGGAAATAATACCAGCCTTTACTGCAGTCTGTCAGGAAGACAAGTGTGTCTCTTACCAACCACGTCCTTAGCCACTTAGTCCAGCTGCTACAGATAGTGACCCGTGTGGCTGATTGGGAGAGAGAGGGATTTAGAGGGGGAAAGAAAGGGATTGAGAAAGGGGGAGAGGGGAGGTGAGAGAGGGGGGCAGGGATAGAGAGATGAGAGAAGAGGGAGAGAGTGGGGGAGAGAGGGCTGGAGAAGGGGGAGAGAGGGGTGGGGGGAGAGAAACTGGGGTAGGAGAGGGGGGAGAGGAGAGGGAGGAAAGAGGGGAGAGGGAGAGAGGAGAGAAGGGGGTGACAACAAAAGGGGAGACAAGAGAAAGGGGAGAAAGTGAGGGAGGGAGTGGAAGATGGAAAGGTCTTGGACCAGATAAAATCACCGGCTGGACTGGATGTAGCTCGCGGGCTGCCAGCTGGCCCACGTTGGATGTGGCCCACAGACCTTCCTCAAATAGCCCGCATCAGCCAAAAACTTGGACCACCCTCACGTATGGAATAGGGTTCCAGGAAGAACCATTGAAGTAAACAGTTTAAATGGTTCGAAAGATAAATTGACCATTTCTGGGGAGAGACCAGATTGCATGGAGATGGATAGGTGGAATTTATCAAAATACTGCATATAGTTTGTTAGGAATTTTTTTTTTTGTGTTGTTAAAACAAAATCTTATCCTTAAACTTAAAACAGAATGTAATAGCCAAGGTTTTATGAATAACTTGGGCACCTCCACTTACTCACGGTAGGTAAACATCCACAAAGTACTTTCCTAAGTGTTTGCAATACATTTTGAATGAATGAATGTTTATAAGGGACCATCAAATTTCCTCAAGGTGATACCTGACATGCATTTGTTAAAATTCTTGCAGGTAGTCTTAAATTCTACTGATGCATAGTCACTTCTCCCCAGCAGTTGTTTCCGTTCTTCCCACTCTGCTCTATTGTTCTTTCCTCATTTCTTTTGTCCCACCAATGATTGGTGACACTTCATCACTATGCCCCAGTCTTCGCAATGCTCTTCCCCCAAATCCATTTGCCTCATGCTTTGAAAACCCTCTTTATCCATGTCTCTGATCGACATCCTCAAACACCCTCGACTTCCTACTCTAGTCACTAAACATTGTCAAGCATGAAATCATATGTGAAAGCAGTTACACAGTGCAAGATGTTGGAGAATTAACTGACTTGTGGCAATATTCAAATTACCACCATCAAAGCTTATAGAAGATCAGTGTAGGTTCATTTGTACAACAATAATAATAATTAATTTATGTGCCAGTACAATATTAAAATAATGCTTCTCAATCTGGGTACCAGATGGACATATGGCTTGTACAGTGCTGTGTGCAGGGAGCAATAGATAGGAAATTGCAAAATGTACCTTGAACTGTGAGAGCAGCTCCTCACCCACTGTAGTGGGACCAGCTTCATTCTCCCGTGTTTCAGCACGACGAAGAATTTCATCAATATCCATTTCCTAAGAAAAACAATTTAGTATTTTACATTGCTCCAGTACCATACTTATAGGAAAAGTAGTACGTTAGAGTTCAATATTGAGGTTTCTCTTAATGACTTCATAATTTTAAAAAAAATTAAGATTTAATTTCTCATGGTGTGTGTGTCTTTTGCCTACAAATATAGACACTTCACTTCGGTCCAAAGTGCTATAGGACGTTTTGATGTTATATGCGACCCCCAGTCAAATGCAACAATTTGTTAACATCAAAAACATTTTCCTAAAATTTAATATTAAGGGAAAAATTTTAGAAAATTGTACACAAGATTGTACAAAATGAATAGATAAAGCCATAAAAAATGTTTGGGCCTCTCATGCTTTTGCAGTTCCGGTACTGACAATTTGATGGGGGGGGAAAAAAACTGCGACAAGAATGAGAAAACAGAGATCACAACCAAACAGTAAATATATTCACTGCCAGCAACAAGCCTACAGCAAATTCATTCAACTAAACTGAAGAACTACCTGTGGTTCTTGCTCCTCTCCTTCTGGCTCCTTGAAAAGTTCCTCAGCTCCAAACTTCAGGATAGATGCCAGCTCTTCTTTATTAAATGGAGTAGAACTAAAATTAGAAGAGAAAAAAACCTAGTCAAATACAATACAAATCTGTATATTCTGTCAAGTGCTTTGAGGGGTCTCAACAACGTGATAAGGCACTAAATCAAATGCAAGGATTATTATTATAAAATTTACATTTATGTAGTGCCTATCATGTCAGGAGGATGTCTCGAAGCGCTTAACAGTACTTACTGCCTTGGCACCCGAGTTGTAGTGGCAGCCAAGGATGAGTGGGAGATGAGGAAGATGAGGAGGGGAAAGATGGCCAAACACAAGGTCAAAGAGATAAGTCTTGACTCAGCCCTTGAATGAGGTAAGAAAGGGAGCAAATAGGAAGTATGGAGATCCAGAGAGTGGGGAGAAAGAGGCTAAAATCCTACCCAATGATGGTGGGGCTGAGCGAAGGGGGCAGCTGGATTGGTTAAGGTTCGAGGAGGTTGAAAGGTAGGGTGGGACAAGTCTGTGGAGGGATTTAAAGGTGAGAACAAGGATCTTGAACTTGATCTGCTGGGGGAATGGAGCCGAGCTAGGATAGGGGTGATAGGCAAATGTAAGGATTCTTAGGATTATAAATCTGACATATCAAAAGATCACAGATCCAATTACTTGTGAGTCAGTTGTTGAATTAGCTAATCTCAGATGGGGCAGGAGTTGTGGCATAAAACTGGCTTCAGTAAATTTAGGCAACTTGGAGGGGGGGAGAGAGGAGGATCAGCCAAAAACAAAATCAGCCAAAAAGAATCAGCTACGTTTCCTGTTGCTAAATCACTATCCAGTGATGCTTGTTGAACAACCTCTTAAAAAGCATGTTACGTTGACTTCTGACAAAACCAGACCAATTTTAATTTATCAGCCAAAAATAAAAAACAACTTGAAAAGATGCGTGTTCTTACTGGGACATCTATAATTTATCCAATACCATTTAACTCAACTGTACGATCTAACCCTAATCTATGTACACTGTCAAATGATAACATCACTACTATTAGCAGTGATATTAGCAGCTTGTAGCAACAATCAAATAGCATACTTAAATCATGATGTAAACTGTCTTCCAAGAGAGAATTTTCATTTTTCGAAGATCTCATCATCCTCAAATAATCAGTCCTTGTAATTGTCAATGCAATTACTGTTTTTGTAAGCAAACCCAGCAGCCATTGCTGTCACCAAAGTTACACAAACAACCATTAGGTGAATTAATCTAGACGATTGCTAGCCAGGACCCAGGAAGATTTTGCTTTCCATTTTGAATAGTTTCACGGGATCTTTAATGTCAACCTGAAAACTGGGACTTCAGTTTAACGTCTTATCTGAATGATGGAATTGGCAATAATGCAGCACCTTCACTCCCCCCACCTAATAAATTATCGGAGTGTCAGTCTAGGCCCCAAAGTGAGAGAACTACCAACCAACCGAGTCAAGCTGATGCATCTTTTTATCCAGAAGAGGTCTTCACCTCCCTTCCTCCCCCAGTTATAAACTATATCAACTATGTTTAAGACCAGTTGAAACCACGACTAAACCATTTCTTAAGGGTACTGGCAAAGACAATGGATGTTGTAATGGGAAGACAATTTTTTTTCTGTGTTGGATGTCGGATGAATCATTCAAATAAAACGGGGACGAAAGAGGTAAAGGTGACAAGATTTCCTTTTCTTTTGGTTATCTTTTGCCTCCTAAATGAAAATCAAAATTTACTGACAAACAATTAAGAGTTATTCAAGCAGGACATTCCCTTTCCAAGGGATCCATTAGTAGCCTCATCAATAGATAATTGCTTATAAGTGAATCATTTGAGTGTTTTAAATCATCTTCTAATTTTTGACCAATTAGGTGTCAACCTAGCTCAGTTGGGAGCACTCTCATGTGTGAGTCAGAAGGTTGTGAGTTCAAGCCTTGTATTGGAAAGCAGATGGTCTTGGCCCACACTTCAAAATAGTGCTGTGGGTATGCTGCATTTGACCGTGCCTTCAGCTCCCCTCTCGACTCTCTTCCTCCTCCTCGCTCCCTCCCTTCCCTCCCCTCACCCTGACCATTTCCCCCCTCCTCTCTCCTCCCTTCCCTCCCCTCACCCTGACCATTTCCCCCTGCTCGGGTCATGACCCAACTGTGCAGCGCCTTGGGACGTCCTCCTGACGTGAAAGGCGCTCTATAAATGGAATCTTGTTGTTGTTGTTGTTGTTGCATTGCTGGAGGGGAGGTCCTTCAGACAAGACGTTAAACCGAGGTTCCTGTCTGCCTGTTCAGGTGGATGTTAAAGATCCCATGGCACTACTCAAAAAGAGTTTCTCCTGGTGTCATGTTCAACAATCCCTAGATAAAAATTGACCAATCACTTCATGGCTTTTGTGAGACATTGCTATTTGCAAAATGGCTGCCAGGTTCACCTACAAAATACACTGACATTACGTTTTACAGTAAAATCCTGTGATGGTGTCTTTCTGATGTGAAAGGCATTATATCAAGTGTACAACAACAAAAAAATAATATTTGTAAAGTGCCTTTCACGTCGGGAGGACTTCCCAAGGTGCTGAACAGTCGGTGATCAGGACCCGAGCATGCGGGGGGGAGGGGTGGAGTTGGGATAAGGGAGGGCAGAGACGAAGGAGGGCAGCTGAAGGCATGGTTGAAAAGGAGGGTCTTGAGTCATGCCTTGAAGGAGGCAAGGGAGGGAGCAAGGCGGGTCGGGGGAGGGAGACAGGGAGCAGGCCGGAGTTTACTGAACCTAGGGAGCGGACAGGTTGATAGGGGGTCAGCAGGTCAGAGTGATAGGTGGTGGGCCTTGAAAGTGAGGATGAGGATTTTGCATTCTATCCTCTGAGGGATGGCGAGCCAGTGGAGGGAGTATTATAATTAAATTTGTAAGTATTATTATTGTAATGTAATACAATGTAATGTCATCTAATGTAAGCATTAATAAATTGCACAGGAAGGCCTTGGTTACATACTTTGGGGGATTGGAACCAGTGTGCAGCACTGTTTTCCCTGTTGTATCCATTCGTTGTATGACAAGATGATCCAACACCATTTTCTTCTTTGCTCTTTCAATGATCTCTTCTTCTACTGTTCCCTTTGTAACTAGCCGGTATATATTCACCTGTAAACAAGATTACACCATTAAACTCAAAATACAAATGCAGTTTGAACCACAACCCTTTTAAGTCCACTAAATCAGTTAAAAGCATATTAAGGTAATCCTTCAAGTTTGCAATGACCATGCAAACTTAGCACATTAGAAATAAAGCAACTTTTGGGGAATTTAGGGTACAACCTTTTATTAAGCATATACATATATTTTTCCATTTAATATCAATCAATCATTGTTGGTTGAGCTTTCTCCCATTCTGGAAGCCCTTTGCTGTGCTCCCACTTTCCCCGCCTTAAGACCCATCTCTTTGATCACATAGGTACCTTCCCCCACCTGACCTCCAGGACCACTATATCAAGTGCTTTGAGATGCAATATGAAATATGCTATATAAATGTAAATTGCTGTTATGTCCTGCATACAAGTATCATCAATATTAACCAAAATATTCTGCAAACAATGAGAATCAACAGAAAAATGTTACCTGTTTTTTCTGACCAATCCTGTGAGCTCTGGCTTGAGCCTGCAAATCGTTTTGTGGATTCCAGTCTGAATCAAAAATAACCACTGTGTCTGCAGATGCTAAGTTTATACCCAGCCCTCCTGCTCTGGTTGACAGCAAGAAGCAGAAGTCCTGTAGCCATAATGAGATAACATCTCTCAAACACAGTCCTCAAAATTCTGCAGAATCATTACTGCCCACTTCCCCCAACAAATTAGGAAGATGTACATTATACATTATTGTATCTTTCACCTGTGTAGGAATACCTAAATCTAGCTAATTTTTTCATTCTCCTCAAATGTTTTGTAGATCTAAGGTTCAGCAAACATTAATACATATAAAAAATACATAATTCTAGAACACAGAAATCACTATTTGACTTAAATAATCTATCTTTAATAATCTTCTGAACGTGTGAAAATACACCAGTCTCTCTCTCGAACCATTCCCAGTATCATATGTGGAAATCCTCTGAATAGGACGTTCATTGCACCAGTGAAGACAGACTCATACCATCAAGCATACTGCAAGCACTTCTTCACAAGTGAAACACAAAATTCTGAAACTTCACACTCAATGTTCTATTTACAAGGTGAAAAAATCTGACTTTTAGGTTATATGACAATATACAGCTCATACTGCGGGAAAGAAAATTGTCAAGTGATTAAAGGTAAGTAGCCTGATTTAGGTTTATTTTTCCTGCTCTGAAATTGGACTAAGTGTCAGCCTGGCTCAATTTAGCAGCGCTCTTACCCCTTCCAAGTCGACTTGAACTCATATAGTCGAAGATGACACTCCAATGCAGTGCTAGGGATGTGTTGCATTGTCAGTGCCAAGAATTTGAGGCAAACACGAGAAGCCAATGCAGGGAGGGCGGACTTGACCTACATTGATCTGTCGCTAAGCACCCTTGTGGTGGAGTCGGCTTGACAGCAGACACAAGTATTTGTCAAGGCCCTTCACATGAGGACCTGGATTAAACAGCTGGTGTTCAGTAATCTTGATACACGGCATTGGACTTGGACCTCAAAAACATCAAGGTGGCTGGCAGGTTGCAAGCTGTCCTGTCCTCCCACAACCTGAAGGCAGATGTCCACCAGATAGCTGATGAGAAAACTGTAAGGCTTGGGGCGACAGCTGCTGGAAGGTGTTACCTGGAGTCCGAGTTCGTATATCCAGCGTCTGGAATCCACCTCGATTGGTTTGCAGAGAGATAATCATCTGCTGCTTAAGCTCCGCACCTTCAATTGGTGGAATCATCACTCAATGGGAAAACATATGTGTTCGAGCTATAGACAGGAAGATAGTGGCAATGCTCTCACACATTTCATGCTGAACTGTGTCGCCCATCAAGAAGCTCCCTGGGAGTTCCTGATACCTATCATCCACACAATGAGAACTCAAACCCATGCTTAAGTCGGATGTCAAGTGAACAACTAGTGCCTATCCTCGGGGTGGGTGGTGGGGTAAAGGAGAGGAGGTAAGCAGGTCTCCTTGGACCTGAAATGGCTCCAAGGTGACATTTTGGCAATGGAATGTTGGAATCGAGCCAACCAACCGTGGCAATCTCAGTAGTCCAGTTCCTGAGCCAGTCAGGACTGCAGTACTCCAGGCAGTCCTGGTGACAGCGCACCTCGGCTGGCTCATCGACAGGACTTGGAAGGACAGACCAGTCACTGAGGTGGGGACTCTTCCCACTCAGCTCTCGATAACCCTGCAAGCCAAAGCCCTAATGGGTAGGGTGGTCCTAGCTGAACAAGAAGCGGGAAGCTTGCCAGGCAGTGCTCTCAACGGCAAGCTATGTGGTTTGGGGTTCTCCAAGCTTTGGCATTTGCCAACCTGCGTCTAATACTCTCCAAAATTAGGTAAGCAGAATATGTCTTTCCAAGGATAGAGTGTACATTCCATTCCAACAAACAACAACAAAATTAGATTTATACAGCGCCTTTCACGTCGGGAGGACGTCCCAAGGCACTGGGCAGACAGAGATACGGACCCCAGCTAAGGGTCGGGGTGGGGAAGGGGGAGGACAGGGGGAAAGTAGGGAGATCGAAAGCACAGTCGAAGAGGCGGGTCTTGAGGCGGGTCTTGAAGACGACGAGGGGACAAGATGAAGGGACTGTGGGATGGAGTTCCAGAGGGTGAGTGGAGAGGGGAGGAAGGCCCGCCTGCCGATAGTGGGGCGCGAGCAAGGCAGGGAATGTGAAGCAGGCTGGAGCCCGCTGAGTGGAGGGAGCAAACAGGATGGTAGGGGTTTAGGAAGTCAGAGAGGTAAGGGGGAGCAAGACCATGGAGGGCTTTGAAGGTGATGACCAGGATCTTGAACTGTATCCTCTGTGTGATGGGAAGCCAATGGAGTTGGGCAAGGTTGGGGGTGATAGGGTCGGGGAGCCTAGTGCGGGCGAGAACACGGGCTGCAGAGTTCTGGATGATCTGCAGCCTGTAGAGGGAGGAGTAGGGGAGGCCAACAAGCAGTGAGTTTGCATAGTCGAGCCTCGATGTAATGAAGGCGTGTATGAGGGTTTTCAGTGGCCTGCGGTGTGAGACAGTGTTGGAGCCGGGCGACGTTGTGGAGGTGGGGAAAGGCAGAGCGGGTCATGGCACAGATGTGGAGTAGAAAGGATAGTTGAGGGTCAAACAAGACGCCAAGGTTCCGGACTGGCTCAGTGAGGTGGAGTGTGCAACCATGGATGGTGATACTGTCAGCACCTGAGGTGAGGAGGTGCTGACGGGAGCCAATCAAGAGAGCCTCGGACTTATTGACGTTCAATTGAAGAAAGTTAGCTCTCATCCAGGACTTGATGTCTGACAGACATTCTGTCAGGACAGCAGTGGTCCTGGAGTCAAGGGTGGAGGCAGAGAGGTAGATTTGGGTGTCATCCGCATACATGTGAAAGTTGACCCTATGTCTGCGAATGATGTCACCAAGAGGGAGAATATAGATGTTGAAGAGGAGGGGACCAAGGACAGAGCCCTGAGGAACTCTGCACGAGATGAGAGGAGAAGCCATTTGAGGAGATGAAGTGCAAATGGTGTGAGAGGTACGATCTGAACCAGTCAAGGACAGTGCATTGGAGTTTGAGGTGAGAGGAGAGGACAGAGTGGTCGATGGTGTCAAAAGCAGCAGAGAGGTCAAGGAGGATGAGGAGGCAGAGGGAGCCCTGGTCGCAGATGGACAGAATGTCATTTGTCACTTTGACCAGGGTGGTTTCTGTGCTGTGGGCGGCACGGAAGTCCAATTGGAGGGGTTCGAGAAGGGAATAGTGGGAGAGGAAGTAGCGAAGCTGAGAAGCAACAACTCGTTCCAGGACCTTGGAGAGAAAGAGGAAGATGGAGATGGGGCAGTAGTTAGAGAGTAGAGAAGGGTCCAGGGAGAGTTTTTTAAGGACAGGAATGATGACAGCGGTTTTTAAACTTCTGCATTGGTCTATCGTTTTGTAGACCGATGCGGAGAGGACAGTTGGTAGCAGAAAGTGGGGGGTGAGGCGGGGGACTAATAGGGAGGGTAGCGATGTGGATCAGGGAGGAGAGGTTGGCCCCTGAGGGGGGAAAGGCTGTCCCCTGAAACATCTCCTGAATTTCCATATTTAAGTGAAACTCAGTTTGGTGTGGATACTCTTATACATGGGGATGTTCTTCCTTTCTATGCACTCTTTGGAATTTTTTTGGTAAATAAATGTTGGGTTCCACAAACCAACTATAGGTAAACCCACTTTCTAACGAAGTGCATTATATCAAGGTTCTACTGTAATCTGTTTTGCACAAACATGTTTTTTTAAGACCATATTAGCAACATTAGGAAGTTGTGCAACAGCAAGGCTACTGTTGATTCAACCAGCAATAGCTGGCACTAAGATGCTATCTACAGGTAATGGATTCCTTCCTCTTCTCTCAACTCCCAAAATTGCTGATGGTTTAACGGAGAGTAACCTTCTTATGGCTTTTGGTCCATTTAATCTGATTCTTTCAGAATGCCACCCAGGTTTTGTGGCTTCTACCACCTTTCCTGGTAATCTATTGCAGCTATTAATTATCTTCTGTGTAAAGAAATACTTCCTGGTGTTTTACTAAAATTGCCCCGCACAACCCTGAATCCATTTGTGGTCTGCTGAACATGCAAGTACTGTTCTGGCTTTACCTACTCTATTCCATTCAGCACCTTATATGAGCATTAACTCTATTGTGCTTCTCTGCACTCTCTGGGTGGCCTCCTAATGTTGCCATGACCAGAACTGTACTTGTACTCACTTATCGAAGTGCAGCCTGATCAGAACATTGTACAGCTTGAGCACAGCTTCTGAGGATCTGAATTCAACTGATTTTGCAACGTAGTTCAATTTTGTGTGGATTAAACTCCTCATCGCACACACATTTATCGTAATCACATAATCCACATGAACAAGAGCTTTGTAAAAATGTTTTACATGGCACCCAAGTACAGCATTATAGAGAGAGACTACTGTATTTAAACAATTCTACACAAACTATTGAAACTTTTAGACTATTTAACCAAACCTTTGGCGTAGCTAAATTCTCTGCTGTGGCATTTTTCCTACACCTTATGGCAGTAAGTTTTCCTTTTGTGCAGACAGTGCAGCATCAGCTAGCTCACAGATAAGAATCTCTAAAAGGCCAGAAACAATAGTTTCACTAAAACAGACCAATCTCACAATAACTGCTAACAGTAACTATTCAGAAAAAAGACCTCCAACCACTTCACTGATGTCTTCATAGAAGTACTTTTTAAATTTAATAAGACAGAACATTTAAACTATTCTGTTATATATTCTTTTTTTAAAAAAAACTATTGTAGTAATGTTGCCTGGGACTTAGTTATTCCATTAAAAAGAAAGCTAGAATTGAAGTGGTCAAATCTAGTGTAAAATATCTAGCAGCAAACTTCCAAATGTGATATTCTGTAAATGGGTAAAGTTGTTAAGGTTAAAAGGAGATTCCCGATATTTGATGACTGCAAGGTGGCCAGTTAAACTGGACATTCAGATTTGAATGGTTTAGGAAAAATAGTGGCAAACATCAATTTATGCACACTGTTTTTCCTAACTTGATTGTTGAACGTTGGGCCTCCCTTGTACAATGGAGTCTAGTTAAAATGTTAGTTTGTGTGTGTGTGGGGTGGTGAACAAAATTCTAACTAGTGCTATAAGGGGGTGCGAACATACACGGATTCAATTGGCACTTGAAAAAGCCATGCGAGAAACTACAATGGCTGACTTCTGGGTCATTGGGTCCCTGCCAACATTATTTCCTGCGTGTTGTGGTTGATTTTTTTCAAGCACTAATGAAGCTAATCTACGAATTTTCGAGTTTCTGGGCAACTAAATGTTGGCCTTCACACCCCAACCATGTAAGTGAATCGCTTATAATGAAGCATCTTTTAAGGGTGTTCTACTGTATTTATACCTGATGCATTACTGGCAAGTCTGCAGAAGCTGAACCTGCTTGACCCCAATTTAAATTGGCTAAACAAGCACACGCTAGGGATCAAACCAGTGAACGTCACACAGTCCAAAATCCTTCATGATCTTAGCCTTTAATACTATGGTCCTAAAATGCAAGATGGTACAGAATTTGATAAAAATCCTTAAATCCAGTCTTAGTTTGGAAGCCGGGCTCATTCTTTGCCTAGAATTCAACCTCCATATACCATTATTGGGGGGAGGAGAAGAGAAAAGAGGAGATGAAAGTGTGCTACTTTTTGTTTTAACCCTGACTTGCCAATTGTCACTATTTATTCTCACACGTGCCAACCTTACACCAGCTTACTTCCGTTTTCTTGCTGGACTTTAGAATCCCCACCCGATGCTTGCATGGACGACAGGGAAGTTTCCAACTCGTGTATGGTAGTGAGTCAGTGAGGAGATGTCACATAATTGTCAACATCATAAAGTAACAGAGTGATTTCAGTCATGGTTTTGTCAAAACCAGTGTGTCCCTGGCCAAACGAAAACTGTGCCTGGATACTGTCCATCCATCAACACTCCCCCACCCACCTTCAAACAACCCAGCTAAGCATGGATGAAATATCTGAACTAAACAAGTGGACTGAAGCACATGCATTCACACCCCAAACCCCACCACTTCCTCATTAGGAGATAGGTCACTGTTACTTGTTGAGATGCACACTAAAAAAATAATAATTTGGTCACTCAATCCACGACTGTTTGTGGGATGCTGCTGTGTGCAATTGGCTGCCACGTTTCACCCCCAAAATATACAGTCAATTCACTTTACAGAATATTCCGTGAAGTGTTTTGAGACATCTCAAAGATGTGATAAGGTATTATATCAAATGCAAGGATTATTATTTTTATTAGTATTACTTACTTCAGATCCTTCTGCATTGAAATGGTCAAGTGCTTGTTTCCTTAGTTCCCCCTTAATAGATCCATCAAGTCTCTATAAGGGAGGGAGCAATAATTAACATTGTTAGGCATGCTTCAAATCATTTTTTTGAAAGATGCAATGTTCCTCACATTGTTTCCCGATACCCCACCCCCCATCAATCGATAAATTATTCACTAACTACAACAAGATAAATAACTACAGTGAGGTGGTGCTCTCTGGTTGGGATCAGTCAAACCTGTAATCCTTTGACTGGGGTAAAGATTTAATGACTTAGACTAAAATAAAGGACTAAAAGGTGAACTATTGCAGATCAGTCATCTGAACACTGAGGAATACACAATTCAAGTCACAAATCAACAATACTTCAAATTAGGAGAGGGAAATTTAAAGAGATCTGGGAGTAAAGGCAGACCCAATCAGACAATAAGTTGAGGCAAATTAAAAAGAAATTGGATTCTAGGATAGATTTGTCAGACCACACCTAAAATACCATGTTGTTTAGTCACTGCCACAATAAACATTTACTTGCACGGAAAGAAAAGAACAATAAAAATCCATCCTAAATTAGGTACCGAGAAAGACTAAAAAAACATAATCTGGGTTAAGGGAGGGGTTAATTTCAATGCAAAAACTATTAAATCATGTAGATACATTAAATTCAGATTATTACTAAGTAAATCAAGAAAATAGGTCCAGAGATTATTAATGAAGAATTGTTCAGTAAAGACGGTCTTTCCATCTTTCCTGCTGCTGAGCAAGAAGGGAGCTAGTCGATCTGCTTTCATACTCTTATTAATAAACAACTTGTATTTATATAGCTCCTTTTGGCTGCCCTGTATGGTTAGTTAACAAAATAAAGCAAGAAATATTCAATCAAGAAAAAACCTAAAACAAATTGAAGATCGAACATAGACTTATCTAGAGTCATATGAACGTTCAGGGGGGCGCTTCTTGACAGCCCCACAGGCCACTTCTGACCTTCAGGCCACTGCTGGGATAAGTACACTTCATACAGACTGGGTTGTGGGAAAGTTGATCAAAATTGTTATAACAGCAAGTTCCAGCACTTTAGGACAGGGAATGCATTTTTGTAGCATGTTTTTCCAATCTCCCTCCACCCACCCCCAACTATATAACCTAACTAGGATTGAGAGAGAACAGGGAGAATCATGGAAGCACTTGGCAGCAATTCAAACAAGAGATTAATTGCTGAACCCCTCGACTCTAAACTGCATTGTCACCAAGGGGTCGAGTTCTTCGTCTTTTAAGTGGTTTCACTGTCAATGCTTATGGCTATTAAATGTGACCGAGACATCTCCCTATTGAAGGAGATTCAGAAGACCAAACACTTATCGGCAGTTTAATACACACACACACACACACACATATTTTTTGGCTAAAGCACATTTTAATAACTGCATTTGGGACAATTGTAGTGATAAAACTGACCTGGAAACAAAACTGTCTGCATTTCAAATACTCTGCTAGAATATCCAGCATCCGAACCATCTGAGAGAAAATAAGCACTCTATGTCCTCGTTCTTTTAGTCGACACAGCAGCTTGTCCAACAAGATCAGCTTCCCACTGCTGCGGATCAGATGCTGGCAAAAAAGGGAATCAGAAAATAGCAATTATAACAATTTTCACACACTCCACATATCTTTACTGTAGACAGTTCAATGCCAAAACAAATCAAGCAATTTTCAAAAGTTGATGATTTACTTTCAGAGATAGTTTTTGTGCATTGTAATTATACAGATAAACCAATTTCATTACTCTGTATATGTCCTTATTTGCATTAGCATGTATTTCCAGAATTAACAGAACAAATGGCACATTAAACACTGCATCTTCTTGAAAAAATGACGGGAGTCAGTCAAAAAAAGCTCATTGGTCTGTCTTCCTTGAATCTGACAGCAATATATGCAGAACAATCATACGTAGGTTTTTAATGTCAATAATACCATTTATCTTCATTCAAACTTAGAGATTAAAAAACAAGTATATACTCTTGCACAAGGAACATGGTAGGAGGCAATTCCGTGTAATTTTCTAAAATGTTTGAGAAACCAGTGAGCTTGTAATGCAGAACCTTCCCTCAGGTGTCAACTTGGCTCACGGTGTCATTCTCTGGGTCAGATAGTTGTGGGATGAAACTCCACATTGAAACAGAACCTAATAGTCTTGGATGACACTCCAATACAGTACTGCGGAGCGCTTCATTACCAGAGATGCATCCTTTTGATGAGATTTAACCCAAGATCCTGTCTACCCATTCTTCAGGAGATTGTTAAAGTTGACAAGAGAAGGGAGTTGTTCTGGTATTCCAGCCAATAATCCTGCAGATTAGTTGGTCATTTGCCTCATGGCTGTTTATGAGACTTGTGTGTGAAATGGTTGCCTGTTTGCCTACAGAAAATTGTCACTATGCGTAAGAGTAATTGCTGTGCAGTATTTTGAGATGTTTTCACAGTATATGTGCTATAAAAATTTAAGTTTTTTTCTAAAGGGATTGGTAGAGTTCCATTACTGAATTGAGTACATGTGGTCTGTTGAAGCGGCTTGATAAAGCACCAACACTCCATATGCTATATAAATCTCCAATTGAGATGGCCAAAGCAATACAATATTCATACTGTAAAACAAAGCAATCTATTTTACACAGTTTACTGAATAGTCTGTACCAGGATTTATTTTTACTATTTGAAGCAATTAGAACACTTTTTTTTAAATGAACAAAAATTAAACATTTGCATTAAATTGCCATGGATCTTCTTTGTATTTTGAGCAGGCCACATTATGATTACCTAGAGGTGGGCTTCAAATCCCCAAATTGGCATAATTTACCATCTTTGTTTTTCTCATCACTCTACCCTTCCAAACAAACCTGTTCATCATATTGGGACATTTAATGTCACCTTTACCCATTTCAGTTAAGTCACATGTGATGGAACACCAAATGTTTGCTCAGTGATCTGATCATATCATTTAAATTTAGGACAGCCCAAGCACTTAGGTAACTAGAAGAATCCACAATGCCTTTGCTTTCCTGCAAATTGCAGATATCCAGCATAGTGGACACACTTGCATAGAATCTGAAGGCTGACCAGTACTCGAGCACATGCTTGAAATCTATTGAAAGTGAGAGCTCACAACAACAACAAGATTCCATTTATAGAGCGCCTTTCACGTCGGGAGGACGTCCCAAGGCGCTGTACAGTTGGGTCAGGATCCGAGCAAGGGAGAAATGGTCAGGGTGAGGGGAGGGAAGGGAGGGAGCGAGGAGGGGGTAGAGAGTCGAGAGGGGAGCTGAAGGCAACAACAACAACAACAAGATTCCATTTATAAAGCGCCTTTCACGTCAGGAGGACGTCCCAAGGCGCTGCACAGTTGGGTCATGACCCGAGCAGGGGGGAAATGGTCAGGGTGAGGGGAGGGAAGGAAGGGAGCAAGGAGGGGGAAATGGTCAGGGTGAGGGGAGGGAAGGGAGGGAGCGAGGAGGGGGAAGAGAGTCGAGAGGGGAGCTGAAGGCACGGTCAAAGAGAAAGGTTTTGAGACCGACCTTGAAGGAGGAAAGGGAGGAAGCAAGGCGAAGGCACTGGGGGATGGAGTTCCAGAGCCTGGGGGCTGAGAGGCTGAAGGCCCGACCACCGATGGTAGGGCGGTTGGGGCGGGGGACGTGGAGCAGACCGGAGCCGGAGGAACGGAGGGTACGGGCAGGTAGGTAGGGGGATAGTAGGTTGGAGAGGTAGGAGGGAGCAAGGCCGTGAATGGCCTTGTAGGTGAGGATGAGGATCTTGAAATCAATCCTCTGGGGGATGGGGAGCCAGTGGAGGCGAGCGAGGGTGGGAGTGATGTGGTCCCGAAGCCTGGTGCACGGTCAAAGAGAAAGGTCTTGAGACCGGCCTTGAAGGAGGAAAGGGAGGAAGCGGCGAAGGCACTGGGGAATAGAGTTCCAGAGCCTAGGGGCTGCAGGCCCGGCCACCGATGGTAGGGCGGTTGGGGCGGGGGATGTGGAGCAGACCGGAGCCAGAGGAACAGAGGGTACGGGCAGGTAGGTAGGGGGATAGTAGGTCGGAGAGGTAGGCGGGAGCGAGGCCGTGAATGGCCTTGTAGGTGAGGATGAGGATCTTGAATTCGATCCTCTGGGGGATGGGGAGCCAGTGGAGGCGAGCGAGGGTGGGAGTGATGTGGTCCCGAAGCCTGGTGCGGGACAGTACACGAGCTGCAGAGTTCTGAACACAAGTGTATACTTCAGTTTCAGTTGTTAAATGTAAACATAATTTTTTTTCCCCTAATATTAATTTTCTTAACTCTCTGCACACACTCCTAAAAACCATACCTGTAAGGCCTCGTGTCTGTTGTAGAAATCATTTGCTTCAGGCAATTTAATGAGGTAGCAATGGTTGCAACACTTTTTAAGTTCCATCATTATATTGAGAAAACCAGATGTGCTGCCTTTACAGCCTTTACTTAAGGCTTTGTAATTCCTGGTCAAAATCCACCTGTTACATTAAAAAAAACGATAATTAATATCATTATTATAACCCAAAACAGTGGTCTTTAATGTCAAACAATCTCGTATTACTGCCAAACTATGCAAAGCAGATTTTACAGAAAACTGGTCAAAATACAGATGTTGATTTTTTTGTAAAAAGCATTACGATGCACAACACAAAAATTTACGCAACGTTGATCAATCTTGTAACTAAAACCTGATCTAGGTATAAAAATCCTGTTACAAGTTCATTGACCCATTGAGCATTTTAATAACATGATGAACATTTCATCAGCAGAAAACATGCAACTCTGGAGATTCAAATGAGATTCCTATTTTATGATTTTTTTAAAAAAACAATTAAGATCTTAAAACATACAAAATGTACACTGGCTGGATCCAAGCACCATTTTTTTTAAAAAAAACTAGTTTAAAAACTAGAGCTTTTAGTTTAAAAACTAGAGCTGTTAAGTTTAAAAAAGAAATTAATAAAACAAAACAAAATCTATCCCCCTGAGGACGAGAAGGGGTGGAACTAAGTAAGCCGGGTCCCCTTGGAACTGGCTCCAAGGTGATGTGCTTGGCAAAGGAATGTCAGATCAAGTCAATCCTGTGTCATTGTCAATAATATGGTTCCTGTGGTCAGGGAAGTGCACAGTACTCAAGAATATGCACAGTGCTCAAGGCAAGTGCACAATGTTCAACACAAATGTATAGTTTCAGTTGTTAAATGTAAAATGATGACAGACCGGCCAGCTTCTCTTACCAACAGGACTTGGAATGGCTGACGCTCAGTTGGAGCAGGGATTCTTCCCACTCAGTTCCTGTTAACCCTGCATGTCAAACTCTAATGGCTAATGGTAGCTGCACAAACAGCAGGAAAGCTTATCAGACAGGGTTGTCATTGGCAAGCTATGAGGTTTTAGCTGATTAAACTCCAGCAGTATCCCAATGCACACTTGCCTCCAGAACCAAGCCTTGGTTCTCACCAGCCTGTGCCTAACACTCTCTGGAAAATGGCTTTCTTTCCCCCCCTTACTCCACGCCTCCTCGGCCCCCACCCTCAACTCAGGTGCAAATCTTGGTTTGTTCAGCAATTTGGGACATCCTCCTGATATGAAAGATAATATATAAATATGCAGAGCCCTGTGTATTGGAATTATGTAAGCAGTATATGTACAAATTCCATTTAGTAGCATTAAAAATAAAAAATATAATCCTTGCATTTGATATAGCACTTTTCAACGTCTTCTAGACGTCTCAAAGCACTTCACAGAATATGCTGTAAAGTGAATTGACTGTATATTTGTGGGTGAAATTATTCGATATAGTTCCGAGCACAACAATTGGTGCTCACGGAATCATAACCCAACAAAGTCAAACGGCTTCAGAAGGAGAGAAAATTAGCAAAGAAAATAAAGAATAAATTCTTATAGACCATTACTTGTAATATTGTTTCTGAAGTGCACTCATCTCCACTCGCAGGATCTGTTCAACCTTGGCAGGTAGGGATTTCTCAACATCCTTTTTCACTCTCCGCAGTAAGAATGGCTCAAGCTCCCTGTGAAGGCTTGTGTATCCGACTTCTCTTCCTTTACCATGTTCCTCTTCAAATATTTCCCAAGAAGCAAATCTTTCCCCCAAAAACAGAGAAATGTCAAAAAAAAATGCTAGTACCACTGTCAGTCATATTTCCTCTAGAAATGTTACTGCATATACATGGAATAAAACTTCAGCTCCATACATGATATAATAATTTGGTCACTCAATAATAATCCTTGCATTTGATGTAGCGCCTTATTACGCCTTTGAGACATCTCAAAATGTTTCACAGTATATACTGTAAACTGAATTGATTACATTTTGTGGGCAAAATGCGGCAGCCAATTGCGCAGTTTATGGGACACTGCTGTGGCAATTAGATGCTGCGTTTCGCCCACAAAATATACATCAACTTACTTTACAGTATGCTGTGTGAAATGCTTTGAGACTTCTCAAAGACGTGCTATATCAATTGCAAGGATTATTAATATACAATTTACTTTCTGTAAACAGCTGATGGACAAACTGCCAAACTACCTTTTTGTATAAATCTGCAGTCAAAACAAAATCTTCACTGTAGTAACATTCTTTACAATGGAATACCTGTTGTTGATTCTCATTATGCACCAAAAACAACCACTTTTTTGGTGAGTTTGTGCACAACAATCTTGAGGATACTATCTGGAGGATTCCTAGCCCAATTGTGGGGAAAATCAGGACTTCAGGAACTGCTAAACCAGCAATTTTAAACAAATGAAAAGGATCTCAACCTGCACAACCTGATCAAAAAATAATCCCAATATTAGAGTGGCATCCAATTCAAGTTTTTAATCTTACAATGCTATTGTTTATTGCAAAGTGTATATTTTGGCTATTCACAGACTCTAATAGAAACGAGTATCAAAGAATCCTTCAAGTTTTTCTCTGTCTCCATTTCATTAACTTTATTCACAATATTGCACTGCAACATTTGTAAATCTTTAAATCTAGTCTAACTTTGTAGGTGAAAGAGCTTAAAATTTTAGCTAATTCAATGTTATAATTTTTTAGATTTTGCTACTGGCTATGATTTACATTATACAGTATTGTATACACAACAGTGAATATGTTAAGTATTTAACATAATTTGAAAACGTCTGATAAAACTTTTCAAGCGTCTGATAAAACTTTTCAAACATTTGATAAAACTTCAAACATTTGATTAACTTTTCAAACGTCTGATTAACTTTTCAAACATTTGATTAACTTTTCAAACGTTTGATTGACTTTTCTACTACTCCATTTCTAATTTTCAAAAAGCTGGGGTGTTTTCGTGGCATTATTATATCACATCATCATCGAAAATTTGAGTATTTGGGAATAATAAAGTAAAAAACTTTGGCGTGAGCTGTGCATTTACTGAAAGCATAAACAATGCAAACCAAAATATACACTTTGCATTAAATAATAGTGTTATAAGATTGAAGACTCGAATTGGATGCCTCTCAAATAATGGGAATATTTTTTAAGTAAATCTTTCCACAGATTTGATCAAGTTGTGCAACTGAATAACCAAGATACTTATACATTCATAAAGATAAAAACACACACATCTAGATTATATTTCAGAAAATTGTTTTGAAATGTCCATGAAATTTCACGGATAAAAGCAACTCTGGTCAATGCTATCGACTTTTCCAGTTTCACCAAAGTTTGAAATGTATTGCCCTCGATAATGGGAACATTTCAGTCCAAATTCCCTCAATTCCTCTTTTCTCCACCCACAACAACAAACATAAATTGGCAAAACACCTACTTTTCTGGCATGATGAAACGAAGGAGGGACCAGAGTTCTTTGAGGGAGTTTTGCAGTGGGGTACCAGTGATAAGCAGCCGGTGACTGGATTTAAAATCCATCATGGTTTTATAAAGAAGAGAATCGTCATTCTTCAAGCGATGAGCTTCGTCCACACCAATGAAAGCCCAATTTACACCTCCAAGGAATGACTGAAACAAAACATCAAATTAACATGTTGAAATATTTTATTACAACATAGTAGCCTAAGGTTACTGACCATTTTCATGTTTGTAAAGTTACAACCAGAAAAAATCCCACTATATTGAACAAATTGATCATTATTCAACACTGCAATGTTTCTGTTTAACAGCCTACGTAACTATGACGATTTAAAAAACGATGTTTTCTAACACAATCATTATTTAACCTTTTTCAATATACCCCTTCATATTTTCTCCCTCCATCTTTTGAAAGCAAAAATTCATGCTAAATTGATTTAGTACCTACCTTATCTTTTAGCAAAATCTCATATGTTGTCAGTAAGATATTGAATTTCAACCTTTTATTCTGAGGATGCATCCATTCGTATGTTCTTATCTAATAGAAAAATAAACAAAAGACAACTTAATAAATGTGGCAACTTTGGTAAAACTTCCATAAAAAAGTAACAAAGTTGTGACCAAATGTGGATTTGTTCTGAAAAGATTAGATGCCATTATCCCATTTCACCTTAAGGTTTTTTCCCCTACACCACCATTCGCTTGTTGTGTTCAATGCTACTTCTACAATGATGGTTATTCAAAGATTTGAGAAAGGCTCAAATCAGAAAGGTTCAAGTTTGAGACGAGAGGGGAAAAACTGAATGTGCTCATGCAAGGGGGTGAATAACCTCCTTCTGTGCTGTAGAAGTCTATGATTATGGAATAGCAATTTACCACATTCCTGCTGCTGATATCACCCAAGTAAACAACAACGTTCATTTCGGGTGACCACAGTTCAATTTCTCGCTGCCAGGAAGTTAGCGTTGAGAGAGGAACTACTAAAAGGAAAGGTCCATACAGCTGGTGCTCATGGAACAGATAGCTGAGGAAGGAGATGGTTTGTATTGTTTTCCCAAGACCCATTTCATCAGCGAGGATAACACTATTGTTCCTGAAAGACACAGAAAACAATCAATAATCAGTAGTATAATTTTAAAACCGAGTTTAAATTTTTTTCACATGAACACACTTAAAATAAAACGCAGAGAAAAATATTCAAAAACAGTCACCAGGTGATTAAGAGCATAATAATAATAATCCTTGCATTTGATATAGCGCTTTTCATGTCTTCTAGACTTCTCAAAGCGCTTCACAGAATATACTGTAAAGTGAATTGACCGTATATTTGTGGGCGAAACGCGGCAGCCAGTTGCGTACAGCAGTGTCCCACAAACAGTTGTGGATTGAAAGTGACCAATTTATTATTGTTTTTGTTTTGGAGGGATTATTATTAGGCGTGTGGAATAAGGAAACTTGTTCAAGGTTTCGCCCTTCCGGGAATTGAACCCAGGTGTCTCACTTGCAAAGTGAGTGCTCTAATCACCGAGCTACATACATCACAGTCTAGTGCAATAGAGTCTAGTGCAATAATTCATTTCAATCATATACGACTACAGCTATACTACTAAAATAAATTACTGCACCAAACTGCATGGTGTGGACTGTATTATCGCACTGCTCAATTTTATTTTAAAATGTCATTCTCTTCCAAGAATTGTTTTTACACAAATGACACATTCAAAATGTACATCATGTATACATCACTCTCCTTCAAATTTAAAAAGATTAAATTCACCCCATCCAATTTTTTTTAAACAATCAGAAATTCCAGCACATGTAAAGCTATAAGAATAGAAGCATCAGAAGTTTTGGGCTTGCATAGAGAACCACTTACTTGCACCAAGAGTGTGCCAACCAATTTAACCCTGATAGCTGATAGTCCCGGAGCTCCAATACATCAGAACTTCCAATATATGATGGCTGTTTCTTCAGTGCAACAAATCTGGGTCTTTGCTTTAAGACCTGCATATAGCAGAAGAATCATTTGAAAGGTCATAAGTTTCAGTTATCACAAAGAACTTTATTTGCAGAAATAAGCACTCTACTTTTAAAAAAAACATATTTATTTTGTGTAGCTCAACCTTTTACAACTTGGAAATAAACAATCAATGAAACACTAAAAGCCATCTTTTATCTATTGGAGTTTAACTCTTCTCTCTTCCTTTCCCACCCCGAGGTTTGCCTCCCTTCATTTCCTCAACATCACAAAGTGGAACTAAAAAGCACTTGATAAATAACACTAATGTTTGCATTTGACAAAGCTCTTTATCAGATCATTAAAATGTCTTAAAAGGGCTTCACAGGATTTACTGTGGAGTGATTATATTTTGTAGGCAGACCATTATTATTATTATTGTCCCACAAAAATTGATTCGGACAGTCAGAATTTTTTTCATAGCCTAATTCACAAGGGAATTTCTTGAAAAACTTTAGCTAGATGTTGGTTAAGAAACAAGCGCCAATGTTTATTTGCAATAACAACTCAAATTAGTCATATCACTATCAATGTAATAAACTATCTGGAGTGTTTTTAATTATGACATGCAAGCAATACATCCTTAAACAAAACTGCAATCAGTCCTTTATTTGCAACAACAGGAAGCTCAAAAGAAAATATTGCACCATGCCATGTTGTAGTGAGATGTGAGTCAGCTCATTCAACTGAATATTTCATAACATAACATGTAGGAGCAGGAGTAGGCCATTCGGCCTTCGAGCCTGCCCCGCCATTCAATCATGGCTGATCTTCTAATCTAACTCCAGCTAATAACCTGACCCTGCCTAATCCCCATATCCCTTAATCCCTTTTACAATAAGAAATATATCTATCTCAGTCTTGAATATGTTCAAGGACTGAGCGTCAACAGCCCTTGTGGTGAGTTCCATACATTCATCACCCTTTGAGTGAACAAGTTCTTCCTCAACTCAGTGTGAAAGGGCTGGCCTCTGATTTTAAGGATGTGACCCCTGGTTTTAGTTTCTCCAACCAGGGGAAACAATCTCCCACTATCTACTCTATCATGCCCTTTGATGATCTTATAGGTTTCTATAAGATCCCCTCTAATTCTTCCATATTCTGGAGAATATAGGCCCAAATTGGTCAACCTATCCTGGTAACTCATCCCCTTCATCCCTGGTACTAACCTAGTAAATCTACACTGCACCCCCTCCAAGGCAAGTACATCCTTCCTTAAATGAGGAGACCAAAACTGGACTCTGTATTCCAGGTGTGGTCTCACCAGGGCCCTATACAGTTGCAGCAAGACTTCCCTCCTCTTATACTCTAATCCTTTCATAATGAATGCTAACATACCGTTCGCCTTCCTAATTGCTGCTGCCCCTGCAGACTAACTTTCTGTGATTGGTGTACAAGGACACCCAAGTCCCTCTGGACACTAACACATTCCAATCTCTCCCCTTCTAAAAAATAACCCACTTTACTGTTTTTGCTACCTAGGTGGATGACTTTGCTCTTCCCTACATCTTCATCTGCCACCTCCCTGCCCAATCGCCTAACCTATCTATGTCTCGCTGCATTCTTTTAATTTCAACCTCTTCCCGCCCACCCCACCCATCTTAAAGAATACAATGCACATTAGAATAAATTAGAATATACAGCACAGAAACAGGGCATTTGGCCCAACTGGTCTATGCCGGTGTTTATGGTCCACATGAGCCTCCTCCTGCCCTTCCTCAATTAAGTCTTTAAGCATAACCTTCTATTCCTTTCTCCCTCATGTACCTTTCTAGCTTTCCCTTAAATACATCTATGCTATTTGCCTCAACAACTCCTTGTGGTGGCATATTCCACATTCCCTCTACTCTCTGTGTGAAGAAATTTCTTCTAACTTCCCTATTTGATCTATTTGTGACTATCTTATATTGACTGCCCCGGGTTTTGGTCCCACAAGTGAAAACATCTTCCCTATGTCTACCCTATCAAAACCTTTTATCATTTTAAAGACCTCTATCAGGTCACCTCTCCGACCCACTATCCCCCCACGTACCTGCCGTACCCTCCGTTCCTCTGGCTCCGATCTGTTCCACATCCCCCGCCCTACCATCGGTGGCCGGGCCTTCAGCCTCTCAGCCCCGAGGCTCTGGAACTCCATCCCCCAGTGCCTTCGCCGCCTCCCCCCTTTCCTCCTTCAAGGCCGGTCTCAAGACCTTTCTCTTTGACCGTGCCTTCAGCTCCCCTCTCGACTCTCTACCCCCTCCTTGCTCCCTCCCTTCCCTCCCCTCATCCTGACCATTTCCCCCCTGCTCGGGTCCCGACCCAACTGTCCAGCGCCTTGGGACGTCCTCCCGACGTGAAAAGCTCTCTATAAATGCAATCTTGTTGTTGTTGTCAACCCTTACCTTCCTTTTCAGCCTTTCTGATAGGTATAACCTTTCAGTTCTGGGATCATCCTTGTGAATCTCCTTTGCACCCTCTGCAGTGCCTCTACATCCATTCTGTATGTGGTCTAACCAAGGTTCTATAGCAGTTCACCATAACTTTCCTGCTTTTCATTTTTATCCCTCCAAAAATGAACCCTAATGCCTGGTTTGCTTTTTTTTTTAATGGCTTTATTAACCTTTGTTGCTACTTTTAGTGAATTGTGTACATGTACCCCTTATATGTGTCCTTTGCTCCTCTACTCCATTTAGCTTTTTATTTTCCAGGATGTATGTGACTTCCTTATTTCGTCTATCAAAATGTACCACCTCACACTTTTCTACATTGAAATGCATTTGCCATTTAAATGGCCATTCAGCAAGTTTATTAGTGTCTTACTGTAATTTGTTGCAGTCCTCCTCTGTATTAACTACTCCCCCCAATTTGATATCATCCACAAATTTTAAAATTGTACTGCTGATTCCCAAATCCAAATCATTAATGTATATTGTGAACAACAGAGGTCCCAATACCAACCTTTGTGGAACACCACTGTCCACCCCCTGGTAATCTGAGTAGCTACCCTTCACATAGGAAAATAGGAATTAGGAGCAGGAGTAGGCCCCTCAAGCCTGCCCCGCGATTCAATAAGATCATGGCTGATCTTCTAACCTAACTCCATCTGCCCGCCTTGTCCCCATATCCCTTAATCCCTCTATCCTTTAGAGAAGTGTGAGGTAGTACATATTGGTAGAAGACATACATCCTGGAAAATAAAAACTTCTACTCTCTGTTTTCTGTTTTGCAGCCAGCTTGCTATCCATTCTGCTATTTCCCCCGACCCCACATGCTCTGACCTTATTCATTAGTTATGTGGTACCTTATCAAACGCCTTTTGGAAATCTAAATATATTACATCTACCACATTATCCTTGTCTACTCTTTCTGTTACCCCTTCAAAGAATTCAATGAGGTTGGTCAAGAATGACCTTCCTTTTTGAAGTCTGTGCAGCAGTGTATACTAGAATCACAGCATATTACAGCACAGAAACAGACCATTGGACCCATTAAAAAAAAGTGGAAGGGTGGGAAAACCAAAGACAACCCTTATAAGCCATTATAAACTTTATTTTGTTCAGAAATAGACATCTCAATTTGTAAATAACACTAATTACTATGTGCTGTTACATTTTCAAAAATGCTATTTAACATCACGATGTACAGGCTGACCATGTTAGAATGCATTTCGGCTGAACTTGGATTCACTTAGTCTACTATGGACCTACTATACTCAAAGTGTGTTACTCCAGCTCCACGTGCTAAAATTGGCCGACTTCTGGGTTATCAGGTCACCATTGACTTCATTTCCTGCTTGTTGATCATAAGAAGCATCAATGTCAATTTCTGTATGCTACCCAAAAAAGTAGGAAGTGACATAAGCAGCCAAACAACCCAGACATCTACCATTTTTCCACCTTTCAGAAGCATTCCGAAGCCACCGTGCGAGAAGAGAGCTATATAAATGCATGGTGTAGAATGTTGCCCCTGAGATATTGGGCTGCACTGTAAAGAAATTTGTGAACAGATTAACTTGTATTTTGCATACCTTGCATTCCTTAAAAGGGATGGTTTTCGATTGGTTCCGGTTCATATATGCGTCAATGTACGATTTAAACTTTCTGCTAATAAGACCTCCATCTTCCCAGCTGCATTCAGAGTATGAAAGGCCTTGCCATTTGCATAAGTAGTCTGGAAAACCTGATACACCTTTCTGGTTGGAGTGGGCTGAAAATAATAATCATTATTAAAATGTTGTGTTAAATTTAGTGCTAAAAACACAAATCTCTGGGGAAAAGAATCATACATCTACTTTTTACAGCGAATTTCTAATTTTTTTCTTTGTTTACAGTGTTATTCACCATTATTAACTAGCCTTTCACAAGACACTGAACAAGTTTCATCAGAGAAAAATTCTGTATGTGAATCCAAGGTTGTGCGACATACACAACAGACTTGTCTCTCGCCTGACCCGCCCTACCATCGGTGGCCGGGCTTTCAGCCTCTCTGCCCCCACACTCTGGAAGTTCATCCTACGGTCCCTTTGCCTCGCTTCCTCCCTTGCCTCCTTCAAGGTCGGTCTTAAGACCTTTCTCTTCGACCGTGCCTTTGGTCTCCCTCCCACCTCTCTGCCTTCCCTCACCCCTACACACCACCCCCCCTCCCCCATGCTCGGGCCCCGACACCTGACTGTTCAGCGCTTTGGGACGTCTTCCTGACGTGAAAGACGCTCTTTAAATGTAATTTTGTTGCTGTTGTCGTTGTCATGAAGAAACCCAAGTGCTTATGCACTTTCCTTTGCTTATGCATTGGAGTGTTGCTGTTGGGAGGACGAATCTTAAAAGCACTATTCATTGTAAGTATTTATTGACAGACTTTTTAGTAAATATTTACTTTACTGGACTCTTCCATGGGTTTGTTTGATTACCATCCTCTGCCAAGTATTTCTCATCCAATACCATAAAGTTGCCTTTTTAAAAACAAAATGCCTGTCAAAGCAACAAATAAATGAATCTGGCAGAAACACTGCAAGGGATTTCCCCAAGTTAAAATCATTCTCTCCTCCTACTCCTTGAATGTCTGCTTCAATCTTTGTGGAACGAAATAAAGGATAGAGGGATTAAGGGATTTGGGGTTAAGGCGAGCAGATGGAGTTAGGTTAGAAGATCAGCCATGATCTTATTGAATGACGGGGCAGGCTCGAGAGGCAGAATGGCCTACTCCTAATTCCTATGTTCCTATGTAAATGGCCTACAGAGCACCACAGAGGCCCAGAAGGACAAACAATTTGGAAAAGGCTTAAAATAAAATGGGATGTAATCAGTTAAGTACTTCTCTGAAAACAAACCTCTCCTTAAAATCATGGAAGTACTGTCTAAGTGAGTAAACATTATTACAAAAATAAAAGCAGAACCAGTCATAAAGTATTAGTCAAAGCCTTCTCTGCTTTTAAAAGCACATTCAAACAAAAAACACTTTCAAACAAAATGATTAAAAGTACACATAATGTTTGTTGCCAACTAGATCTGCTGGTAGATGTGGCTCAAGGTGAGGTAGTTAATCTTGAACCAGCATGGAGTTACAGTATTCATGTCTAAACAGTATCAGATAAGCCCAAATCTATTTTTTTGGTCACCGTGATTAAGATAAGAGTTCCACATATGTATACAACAACAACAACAAGATTCCATTTATAGAGCGCCTTTCACATCGGGAGGACATCCCAAGGCGCTGTACAGTTGGGTCAGGACCTGAGCAGGGGGGAAATGGTCAGGGTGAGGGGAGGGAAGGGAGGGAGCGAGGAGGGGTAGAGAGTCGAGAGGGGAACTGAAGGCACAGTCAAAGAGAAAGGTCTTGAGACCGGCCTTGAAGGAGGAAAGGGAGGAGGCGGCGAAGGCACTGGGGGATAGAGTTCCAGAGCCTCGGGGCTGAGAGGCTGAAGGCCCGACCACCGATGGTAGGGAGGTTGGGGCGGGGGATGTGGAGCAGACCGGAGCCAGAGGAACGGAGGGTACGGGCAGGTAGGTAGGGGGATAGTAGATCAGAGAGGCAGGACGGAGCGAGGCCGTGAATGGCCTTGTAGGTGAGGATGAAGATCTTGAATTCGATCCTCTGGGGGGTGAGGAGCCAGTGGAGGCGAGCGAGGGTGGGAGTGATGTGGTCACGAAGCCTGGTGCGGGACAGTACACGAGCTGCAGAGTTCTGAATGACCTGCAGCTTGTGGAGGGAGGTGCCGGGAAGGCCGGCGAGGAGAAGGTTCCCATAGTTCAGATGATAAAGGCGTGGACCAGAGTTTCAGCAGCGTGAGGGGGGCGGTAGTGCCGTAGTCTGACGATGTTCCGGAGACCACCTATATATGGAAATTTTCCTGGATGGAATGCACACCCTCTCCAAAGAGGGATGCACCTGACTTACTCTCACCTCATTCGGGAGACGAGAGTCAATGCCTGAAGACCGCAGCATGTATGTTGGGGGACTGCTAGAATTTAACCAGTTAAAGTGGCATAGCTCACAATTGAAATCACTGTGTGGCAACCTTCCTGCAGCTTGGCCAGCTCGGCTTGCTGGATTAACAGCTGAGTAGAAAGAATCCCTGCCCCCACTGGTCCTTCCAAATCCAGATTGGCTGTCCTGTCATCAGCAGTGCCCTAGAGTACTGCAGACCTGCCTTATTCCACTAAATTATTGAGAATGTGAAACTATTAACAATCACCGTGCTTGCTTCTTTAAACATTTGGATTGATGGCATCTGCTTTGCTTGATTTGATTTTGATGGCATAGCAATATTCAAAGCTACAGTGGGTGGGTTCCAACGCTTCATCATTAAACTGTCATATATAGAACTTGGTTGTCCAATTGTTTATCCCACAAATCATAACTCTGCCCAGCAGACATTTCAGATTCAGTCATAATCTAGCATTTATTTAAGAGAATGTATCAATGCAAGAGATTTTTTTTATATAAAAAAGTATAGTTTGAGAATACTCAGCCTCAGTAATACCTATAAATAAGATATCCACATAGTTACTTAGTTCAGACAATGTAGCTCTAACTATATCCTACCTGGGATGTTGGTTAATACTTTCATAAAGTCTTACCAATTATTCGCTCCACAAATTGATACTGACTGTGCAAGTCATCTACCAGCTCCTGCTGACAGTTGAAGTATTCTATGTCTTCAGGAGATGCTGCTTTCAGCCTAGAAGGTTAATTTTAATTAAAGTGTTAGATTAAAAAAAAACATTTTTAAGAATAATCAAGGTGAATTTCAGTTACCTTATTTGGAAATCTCTAAAGACTCTGGAACAATACTTTATTCGGGCCAAGCGGAAGGATGCTTGGTTTAATCTGCTCATTTCATAACATGGGGTCTATAATACACCATGTGTAAACACCAGAATTACCTGCAATACTTTTCATTGGTTGTTAATTGCACAATGAAGGGCATTTGTAATTCCCTCTGTACATGTTTACACGAGACACATACTCATGAGTTTAAACACTGCATACAATAGCTTTAACTGCCTAAGAACAATGAATACGATACTGTTTGCTTCTGAACACGAAACAATTTCTTCAGTGGTGTACTGAAGGGTCCAGGTTTGTATGGATCCTTTTAATAAGCAAAGTATTCCACTCCCATCCCCAAACCAAACACCGAGAGCTTACAGGAAAACCATAATAAGGGAGGACATTTAAGTGACACTTAAGACTCCAGTTAAGACATGAATAATCAGATGGCCTTATACACCCACCTTATCCAATGAAAACACATTTTTATTAATATACAATAAATCCCAACAATACAAATTTACATTTATATAGTTTGTTAGAAGTGCGAGCACGTCTTATGGCACTTAACAGTACTGGCTGGGCACCTGGGCCTGGCAGCCAAAGTGGGCGGGGAGGGAAAATATGACTGAAAGCTCAGACAGAGATAAGTCTTGAGATGGACCTTAAAACAAGTTGAGGGAAGGATCGAATTGGAGGGACTCTGGAATGAAGTCCCAGAGAGTGAGGGCAGAAAGCCTGAAAGCTCGCAAGGAGTATTGTAAACAGTTAAACAGAACAAAGTCAAACACAAACAGGTCAAGTGTTTGTGCCTGCCAGGCTTCCTTTTTAGTTGGAAATAACTACTTTTTGGATTGGTCTGTGACATATGTGAAAACCCATCACCATGCTTAAGAGTATTTCAGAATTTCACACATGTATGTATGAATATTTCCCATCATCTGGAATGGTGTGCAGTCTCTCCCTAGAGGGATGCACCCTTTCTTCTGGAAAATATTAGGCACCCATTGGGAACAGCCAAGTCCAGGGAACACTAGAATGTGTGTTGGGATATTTCTGGAGTTTAATCAACTAAACCCAAATAGCCTGTCCTTTCAAACACTTTCTGGCAAACTTTGTGCTGCTTATCCAGCTAGGACCACCATAATACCAGTTAGGACTTTGGCTTGAAGGGTGAACAGGAGCAGAGTGGGAAGAAACCCTACTATTAGTGACTGGTCTGCTGGCTCATGACTCAGGCTATCACAATTTCACTTGCATAACTTACCATCGTTTCTTGTCTTCCTCCTTTTTCTTGTAGTTCTCCAGTTTTTTCATTCCTTTTGTGTTTTGTTGCAAAAGTGTTTCTTCGCTCTCCCAGGTGTTGTGGAGGTGAGACCATCCCTTCCATTTGATCAAGTACTGACATTCGCCTACCTCCTTCAAGGGATCAAACCCGAAATTGGGATTACCCTCAGCCTCTACCGCATAGACAGTGGTGGCAGCACCAGTTGCTAAATAATAAAAATAAATTAAAAGTGAGAAACATTTTTAAAAAATCTATACAGCTATTCTACTACACTTTTTATTAAAATAACTTGTTTGCCAAAATAAAAGTAAATCCATTTTAACAAATTAATATGTAACAAATGTTAACCCTTTGAATGCAAAAATCAAGAGAACAGAAGTACGTAACTAAATATAAATAAATAAATGTATGTACTTATAAATGAACAATATAAAATTGTAGTAAAAAGCAACAATTTACACTTATATAGCATCTTTTGAAGAGGTCGGGAGGAGGCCTCAAAGCACTTTACACAGCTGTCCAGATACCTGAGCTGGAGGAAGATGGGAGGGGAGGACAGGAAAATGAAAAAATAGTCAAAAGATGGGCTTTAATAGTGGGGAGGGAAAGGGTGAGGCGAAGGCACTCTAGGATGCAATTCCAGAAATTTGGACAGAATGGCTGAAAGCCATTGATTGTGGCATGAATCATGTGGGGAACATGAAGAAGGGTGATGTCAACTGAGCAGAGGGAACGGTTAGGGTTGCAGATGTTGAAGAGCTGATATTCTCCCAAACACTCTGTTGCAATAGTATTCATACAGAACATATGTAGTCTGAATCACTGCTTTCATGTTGTATCCCACGAGTTTTTCCCGCCTCACTTGAAGGCACTGATCCTTGCAGCCAGGTGGTTGTGCAGATGTCAGATGCCCTTGCCAACCTCATCTTAATGACCATTCTTCACATGTGAATTTAGATAGATTGAGGGAGAGTACGGGTATGTTATTCAATGGTGAGGACACATCACATTCAAACCCGCTAATGTCTTCACTCAGCACCCATACACTTTTGCAGCACAGATCACAAAGCAGAGATAGTTTGGGCACGCAAACGGATTGTGAAGATGATGACAGACAAGCCCAATCTTTGGCTATCCACATGTATTAGATAAATAGGCCAATCTACGCTGCTAATTCTCACCAATAATTATTTATACAGCATACCTCCTTTCTTCCCTTTTCGAGAATCCATCAATCTTTCTAGTGTCTCAAATTCTTCCTCTTCCTCCAGGGGAGGAGGAACATCTTCCCCACACATTTCAACCAAGTCATCAGAATCAGTTTTGGCATCTTCATCTTCCTTGTAGCTGACGTTTACCGTTGCCTGGCGACGAGAAGCCCTTTTATCATCAGGTCCATCGTCATCATCTGATGATTCAGTCTGTTTCTTCAATACCTTACCCTTCTTCACACTTTTTGTTTTAGCCCTTTGTTAATTACAAAACAAAATTGCAAAGTTACCGGTGTTCAGAAAAACTGTACATTTTCTCTGTATTATGAAGTCCTGTAGCTTTGTGGTTAGAATATTCGTCTCGCAAGTGAGAGGACCTGGATTCGATCCCCGGGCGGGGCGAACATTGGGCAAGTTTCCTTACTCCATATGCCTCGGTTTACCTAGCAATAAGTAGGAATCTGGTTGTTAGTCGACTTGCTGATCCCGTTTCCGGGGGCAATTATCCCTTCAGAAAAAAAATAAGAACTTGTTCACTCAATCCCAAACTGTTTGTGGGAAACTGCTGTGTGCAATTAATTGGCTGTAGCGTTTCACCCACAAAATGTACGGTCAATTCACTTTACAGTACATTCTGTGAACCAATTTGAGTTGCCTTGAACACGTGATAAGGTGCTATCTAAAAAGACAGGACTATTATTATTATAATTCACATATCACTCAAACTGTGAGAAAGTACCAATAGTCATTCTAAAATGATCACTGAATGAAAGTGGGGCGGAAAGAGGAAAACATTGAACTATTTGAAGTTAACACAGTTTAGGATACTATTACACACCTCAAATTTCAAGCTACAATAAAGTCCTGATACTTTGTCACTCCAAGGGAAGAGCTCAGTGACCAGTTACTTGGAGTGGCAAGTTAGGCATATGTATAAATACAAAAATAAATGCAGCTGGGATCGTCACAGCATGATGATTTAAGTGGTAGTTATATTACGCCAAAGTCGAATTATCAGGAATGTACTATAGTTTAAAAACAACTAGATAAACATACAGCAACAAGGACAACAATAGATGTAGCTGAACTGAGACCATTAATGAGTCATCTGAAATACAGTTGAAGCTGAAGTGTGTGGGCTGTGTGGTTGCTTTAATACCCTGGAGTTTTGTTCAATGTCTTTGGGCATGAAAGAAACTTCACAAGAGCTTTATCATTGCAAGTTATCTGTGGTTTGTTGTCTGCCTCAAACTACAACTCTCTTAGTACAAATTATTTCGTTTTTATCAAAAAGAGCTCTCAGCATTTTTGCTTGGTCAGCAGGATGTCAGACATGGGTTAAACCCACTACCACGCTTACGAATTTCCAAACCAGACAGTACCACACATGCAAGCCATCTCCCTTTAAATTATCTCGTATCTGGAATGAAGCTGTTCACTCTGGTTACCTAATTCTGGAGAGGATTAAAATATTTTTTACATTTGATACAATACCTTTCATGTCAGAAGGACATCTCAAACATTTCACAGGAATCGCTTTAAAGTATAGCAACCATGTGATAAGGCACTATATCAAACGCATGGATTATTATTATTTTTACGGGCAGCTTTGCCCCACAAACAGCCATGAAGTGTGGGGGACTGTCGCCAGGAAACTCAGGGAAATTCTCTTTTTGAACAGGAAGGCAAAAATGCAGTGCACCATCCACTACCTCTATTGAGATTTCTACCTAGAGTGGAAGTCCAAAGTTAGGTCCAGGATCCCAGTGTACATGTTGGAATACTGCTGGAGTTTTAACGAGCTACAACAACATAGCGTGTCTTTGAGAGAACTCTCTGGCAAGCTTCCTAATGCTTGTGCAGCTCGGACCATCCAGCATGTTAGGGATTTGACTTACAGGGTTATAGAAGCCTACTGGGAAGAATCCCTGCTCTTAGCAGCCTTTCTGTTCCTCCAAGTGCTGCCGACGAGCCAAGCTGGCTAGTCTGTCAAACTGTCTCAGGAATGGGCGATCAAGACCACCACAGAGGGTTGGCTCAATTCTGACATTTCGTTGCTGAGCCCATCACCTAGCTAATTTGTATATAAACACAGTGCAAATAAGTCAAATAAACATTGATAAAATAGGATAAATAATTTCAGTATGAAATAGTTATCTGAAAACATAAATCATTTAAAATGTAGGACATAGATCATGCCTTTCCATGTGAGCTTTTCTGGTAGAAAGAGGAGAAAAACAGAATGTGATGGACATATTGAAACCTACATCCATCCAGAAATATCACCTGAATACCCACATTTCAAAAATCCCCAAAATTGCTATTGTATGTGGAAGATCAGCTTTGCATCAAAAATGAACACCACTGCTTCTCTAAAAAGCAAATGTTCATTATATGTCACATCTATTTAACTTATCCAAGAGGATCTATGCAGCAAGGAGGAAGGAGCATTGTTTTAGCCAATGAAAATAAATGTGTGGCGATATGAGGTGATTAAAGAGGAAACTATAATGTTCAAATGATTAAAGCATGTTTTCTTCACATGAGCACAATAGGTACAAATATTATTTTATTACAGCACTTTCCCTTATTTTTACAGTAACTGGAACCAGTCACCTCCTGCACTCAGCTGCTATGTAAAACAGATAATGTTAACATAACATTTGTAGTTTTACAACAGTGTTTGAATGTTAAAGCAGCTCAATTGGGCTTAGCAGCGATGGGAGCTTTGGACAAGCTCGAGAAATGAATTGGAGCTGCCTAGTTTGTAGGATATTAGTTTAGTATTTGCTGTATACTCTCTAAAGTCAGACAACTCTGGTTCTGTTCAGAGTGTCCAGAGCAACTAAATTGTTTCCTGAAACATTTACCTGTTCTGGGGTTTCCTGCTTTTGACTTTGTTGGTGGGCTGATAGTCAGATTCACTGTCTCCTGAGGTACTCTTATGTTGACCTTCCTCCTCCTCTTCCTCCTCTTCAGACCCAGTACCAGACATTTGCCAGTCTTCACTAGAGGGATTAAAACAGCAGCAGTTATTTGAAAAACTTACAAATTCATCAAAAAACAATTAGATGGATATGTGTATATATATATAATTATATATAACATATATATATTGGGAACTGGTCAATTTCTGCAAATAGTATGAACATGGATAATGCACAACATTTTCACAACCATAGGGATAAAGTACATTTTTGCTTGATTCCGCTAATCTAAAATATATATATATGTATATGTTTGCTCCTTCCCACCCACAATACATTTGCAAAAAATACTTAAATCTTTGGATGCCAGTAGGGACCCATGCAGTTTACAATAGTTGTATGGGTTTTATTTTATCTTCCAGCATTCAAGCTATTTGAGGTTTGAAAAGTTTACAAAAATCCATACTATAATAAAGCAATCCAATGCAAACTTTTGAAACAGAATCTGAATTAAAGGTCGAGGATTAGCCATCTAGAACCATACTGGCACAGATATTATTGGGCGGAAATGAGAATTCAGCAAAGAATTGGGGTAGAAAAATAGCCCTGATGACAATGACAGTAAAAAGTTCCAAATGCAGACCATTGTCGGACTATTATTAGAAAAACCCCAAATTTAACAAATTTAACAAAGTAAAGTACTGACAAGCAATTGCTTTTCTGCTTTAGACAAAGAAATGTCAAGCCACGTGTATCATGCCTTGGGGCATCCTCGCGACATGAAAGGCGCTTTACAAATGTAATTTTGTATTGTATTACACTGTTAAAAGATTTAAGGAAAGGACTCTAAAAACAGAAGAATAGGATTACCTAAATAAGTTGATAACTCAATTGGAACAATTTTTAAAAAAAGTTAAAAATTAAGTTGTGAATATAAAAGAAATTAAATATATACAGCTGGTAAATTGCCATTTAGGATAGACAGCAGCATCTATTAAAAAGGTACTTAGAGAGCACTGTGTATCTGAAAAATCATCAGTAAGCTTATCAAAGTTTTACTTTGGGAAGAGCAAAATAGTTGTATTATAATAGTATTTTAATACATTTGTTGTACCTTTATTGGAATCAAGAGATCTCAGGTGAAATCTTCCAATTTACCTTAATACAAGCTGATTTTCTTCATTCATAAACTGAGTTTCAGGAAAATTATTCATTGCATTTTTACAAAAAATCCTGACTTTCATCAACAGGACCCAGACTTACTCTCTGTGTTTCTTGTGTTTAGTAGTGCTTTCACTGGAAGATTCATCATCAGACCCTTCACTACTAGAAGACTGCGGAAACAACCATAAAACACATTTTAAAATGAATTGTTATGAAAGACTGTAAACAGTCATGAAATCTGAACAATATTCACATTACACTGTGAAACCAGTAATTACAATGTAACTGGCTTCAAAGCAAGCATGTCACGACTCCTCATTGGGAAGATTTACTGTTTTTCACAGATGTCACAAACCCAAGACCTATTTCAATTGTATGATGCAGGTAAAGGTTAGAAATCAAGTCTAGGTTTATACCTTTACATACTCTAATAGATGCAACAAAAACAAATCTCAAGCTCAAATATGTGTTAAAATTGACTTCTCTCCACAAACAACAACAAAATTACATTTGTATACAACAAATTTGACTTCAGAAATTTATATTTACTTATACTGATCAATTTGACTTCTGTAACTTGTATTTGTATACACCCATTTAGTGCTGTTTATTTATGAAGACTAATCATTCTGAAAATAGATTTTAAGATGCCCAAATGCTGTGAGATTTAAATTAATTTATTTTTCTTCTCATTCCACAATGATTTGCTGATAGCTGCAACTCAAACTTTGCATGGGTTTTCTCCAAATGAACAGAAATAAAGATTAAGAAGTATTACAATTCAGACACCTAAGGCCTCACTATAACTGGATGTAAATACTTAATAGCATTTTAAGGATTATCTCCTTTTTGTCAAACAAACTGGATAAGGAGAGGCTTCCAGCATTAATCATTTTGAAATTTAATAGGAAGTCCAAATATGCATTTAAAAATGATCATCAAGCAAAATTAGGCTTCTTAGAAGGCACAAAAGACCTCTGCAACGTATTCTGATACACCAATATCAAATACAAATGCAAAAGGTTGGAATGAAAGCACGACTATAAGAGGAATTTCGGTTCAAAATTTCCTTTTTAGGAAAACTCACTTATCAATTTGACTTCAGAAATCAACAACTTAAATGTACTCCCAATTTAAACAAAATGATTCTTCCGGAAAGTAGATGTAACGTAAACTCTTTCCTCTCCCTTGTGGGATTGGCTATAAACACAGGTATTATATTGTTTACACTTTCAAAGTTCATTAATTCCTTGCTCCAGTGAATTAGTATCTGAACAGCCTTTAGGCTTCTGATTTTAAATAAACTTCCTACCTCCTCTGAGCCATTGTTTGATGACAATTGCTGCTGCTGTAGCTGTTGCTGCTGTTTCCTGATCATGGCAGATCTCTGAACAGCTAAAATACTTGGATGAGATTTCCAAAACTGCGACAGAATAAAATGAAGTGGGTCACAAATTCAAACTTACAAATGGTCACATAATAACATATCTTAACCCTTCAAAGTGTCACTGGTGCAATGAGACTACAATTTCAGGCAGTGGTAGATCATCTACTGCACACATCTAAATTTTTGCAAGATTCCTTTTTTGGATTTCTCTCTAAATCCTTTTAGTTAACAGGAATGTATCTAGTTCCCTCTAGAAACATTTTATAGTTTATTGTACGACCGTGTGTTCTGGTATTCGGTTCCATATGCAGATCATCTCGTAAGCAACTTCAGAGGAAAGAGACAAGACTATTGGGTAGAGAGATGCAGATAAAATGTAATGCAGAAAACTGTGAGATTATATATTTAGGGAGGAAGAATAAGGAAACTTGGCCACTCATTACGGGATGTCACTGTGGCAGATTAGCTGCACATTTACCATAACCATTGACAGTGCTTTTGTTCATCTTTTCCCTTGCCACCTTCTTCAGCTCCCACCCCAGCTCAGGTGCACAGCCAACAATATCAAGTGCTTTGAGACATCCTCCTGGCATGAAAGGTGCTGTATAAATGTGAATTGTACTGTACTGTGTATTTGTAAAGTGTTTGACAAGATTATTTTCATGTGAAAAGCACGTATATAAATGCAAGTCATCGTTCACCTCTGCTCCATCGGTTTTGGGGACTTTGCTCTCAGCTGGTCTCTTCCCTCTGGATGATGATGCATTACTTCTTGAACCTGATGTATCAGAATCGGATTGGCTGCCTGAGTCTGAGCCACTGTCAGAGTCACTGGAGTCATTGCTATCGGAACGGCTGCTGCTGCCATCACTGCTGCTCCCTGAACTCGAACCAGATTCCTTGTCTGATTGACTGAAAAATAACCACCAAAAGAAAATCAATCAACACACAAAGCTTTATCAAATCTTATGCTCCTGTTATATACAGTAAATACTTTCAAGTTTCCAATAATATACTCATGTCCACACAATAACTTAAGGAAAATATTGATGCCTGGCTATCATTCTTTAATACTTCCACAGTGAATGTATTATAGGTTTTAAGAAAACCTGCTCCACTGACGACTGTTACTGCTGCTGCTAATGTAACCTAAAATGAGAAGCTGGGATGTGAGCACAGCATTCCTACATCCATTATATTTGTTTGCTGGCTTTAAATGCTGATATAAACCCTACAACTTGGACCCATCTGCGGGTTCAGATGGAAGTTAAAGATGCCATACCATTATTCGAAAAGAGAAAAGATGTCCTCCCCGGGTCCTGGCCAACAATCCCCCAAATAAAATTAGTAATTCGCTCTTGGTGCGCCATTGCTGCAAATTGGTTGGTGTACTTGCCTAAAAATATACCGTCATTACAATTGATAGTAAAATCCAGTGAAGTGCTTTGAGATACCTCAACCACTTGAAAAGGCACTATATTAAATGGCAGGATTATTATTCACATTTTAAATTAGCTCAAAGATTATTATATTTAGTTACAACGTGGGAAACTAGCATGGTCTGTTGGAGCATTCTTCGCTTTTGCACCATCATCATTGCTGCGAACTGACCACAAGCAAAATATGATGAGAGACACAAAATAATGCTTGTTTTTGGAGTTCACCCTGCCCGTTACTTTCTCCCACTAAAAAATATTTATATGTGCTATTCTCCATCTCAAAGAACATCTCTGAACAAAACAAATCTGTCTTAATCTGTGATGTAATTAGGAAGAAGTCAGTACTAATATCACCTGTGCTGCCAGAGAGCTACGTTCTAAATGTTTTAAACAACATCTCGCATGCCAGTTACTTTTTGACTTTGCTATTTTTAATCTGTGCCTTTAAAGGATATTCTGACATAAAATGTCTGCATTGAATGTTCAGGGGTGAATGGAGTATTACGATCTTACATAGTTTTATAATCATTATTTTACACTGAATCTGCAAATCAGATTTTCTTTTAAGAGACCTGTAAAAAACGAATTGTGCTAACAAATGCACCCGAAACTGCAACGGTTTCAAAACCAATGTGAAAAACTACCTGGCGAAATTGTTGCAGCTAGCTTACTAAAAATTAATAACAGACCATCAAGCATCCAAAAGTCACTACAGAGCTGCCATCAGTCACAAGGCTGGGTAGCTAGCATCCCAATGGCTTGGTCAAGGCAATGACTCATTCAAACATGATCCACGTCATAAATTAGAAGACTGGTTGCTATGCAAATACAGATGGGCAAGAGGTGGACTGACAAACAAAATAAGAAATCAAATTTGCATTTGCCTACAAATATAGTTATTTGCTTTTGGACCTTGTAATCGATGGCAGATCTGCACTTTACAGCAAATCGTGTGAAACGATTTGTTATGTCCTCCCGATGTGAAAGGTGTTATATCAAATACAAATTACGTATTATTATCTTGTGCTTCAATCATGTAACCTAAGCAAAGACCACAGTTGTCCCTTTAACACATGCTTAAAAGGTTACTAGGGCTTGAAACCAGAATGAAAACCACCAGCTATTATGAGTTGCCAGTTCACAGCCAAAATCACTGGCCTGAAACAATTGCTTCCTATTCATGCATGTAGTGGAGACAGCTCATGAAATACCTGCATAAGAGCCTCCAACAGGTGCAAGCACGCACCTCTCTACTCCAGAGCAATGCTCAATCCCATTGTTACTGTTCATTGTGAACCCACCACAAGCACCCTCAATCCTCAAATGCAAAGAGGTGATGGACTTCGTCAAATCTGAAAGGACAACATCTGCTTATCTGCATCCTCCAAATACTTTATAATAATCCCTGCATTTGATATAGCTCCTTATCATATCATCAGAATGTCTCAAAGCACTGCATAAAATTTGTTGTAAAGAGTAGTGACTATGTATACGAGAATATAGCAGCCAATTTCCACACAGTAATGACTCAAAAACCTTGTACGACACACATTATGTGGAGGAATTTTAGCCAGGACCCCAGAAGAAATTGACTTCTTTTTCAAATAATGCTGTGAGATCTTTAATGTTCATCCCTGAAGAGGAAGATAGGACCTCAGTTTTTAACGTTCTTGGTTTAACTCAATAATGGCATCTCTGACATTGGGTGCTCCCCCAGCATTTCACTGAAGTGTCAGCCTAAACTGTGAGTTCAAAGTCTCACTGTGTGGCTTGAACCAGCAATCTTCTGAGTCAGGGCCAGGCTGACATTTTACAGAAGGAAAAATACTGCAGGTTCTGGAAATCTGAAATAAAAACAGAAATCGCTGGGACCCCTCAGCCAGTCAGGCAGTATCAATAGAGCCATGGACCCTGTTGACCTGCTGAGTGTTCCCAGCGACTTCTGTTTTTATTTTACAGTCCAGGTGCATCATCACACTGCACCAAAGCCTAGCATCAAGCCCTGTCTTCCGTAACTGTATGAAATTTCGCAATTGCTGAGAATCATGGAAAATTCATAAATTCAGCCTGAATTCACTATTAAGCTGTTTTTTCCACAGTTGGTAAAACAAAACAACAAAATTACATTTGTATAGCTCCTTTCACATCGGGAGGAATCCCAAGGCGCTGGACAGACAGCATTACGGTCCTGAACTGAGGGTTGGGGTGGCGGAGGGGTGGGGGAAGAAGGAGGGAAATCGAAAGCACGGTTGAAGAGGAGGGTCTTGAGATGGGTCTTAAGGGTGGCGAGGGAGGGAAGTTTGGTCTGTGTAAGACCTGGATCTTTTGAATAGTGCAACTGGATAGACCGGTGAGGAGTGAATTTGAGTAATCCAGGTGGAAGGTGACAAACGCATGCAGGAGGGTTTGGGCTCCATTTGGGGTAAGGTATGATCGGAGATGGGCAATGTGGCAGAGGTGCAAGAAGGCAGTCCTGGTCAGGGATTGTATGTGGGGGAGAAAGGACAGCTGGCAGTCGAACCAGACGCCTAGATTGCGCACTGGTTCGGTGAGTGTGAGGGAGAGCCCAGGGAGGTTGAGGAGTTCAGATCCACAGGAGTGAAGACGCTGACAGAAGCCAAGGAGTATGGCTTCTGTCTTGTCCACATTCAGCAGCAGGAAGTTTGCACTTATCCAGGTCCTGATGTCTGCCAGACAAGCTGATAGAATATCAGCGGACCTGGAGTTGGTACTGGAGGAGACAAAGTTAATTTGTTAGTCATCAGGATACATGTGGAAGTTTACCCTGTGTCTGCGAATGATATCACCCAGAGGTACCATATAGATAAGGAAAAGAAGAGGGCCAAGGATGGAGCCCTGGGATACTCCGCAGAACGTGAGGAGAAACCATTTGCCGAGAAACCAAAGGAATTCTGAATTGAAGAACTGTCCACAATCTAAACATTTTAAGACAAAATGGTCTTACAGGTTAAACCTATGTTTTAATTTACAACCCATTAATCTAAATCCGACAACATTTACTCTGGCTTTTTCACAGCGTTTGAATCCCATATTCTTTACGCTCACTGTTTATTCATTCTTTCATATCCATACAGGCTGTCAGGACATCGGTGGTCGTGGAGGGTAGAGGAGGAAAGGTAGAGTTGGGTGTCATCCGCATACATGTGGAAGTTAACCCCATGTCTGTGGATGATGTCACCACGGGGAGCATATAGAGGGTGAAGAGGAGGGGATCGAGGACAGAGCCCTGAGGGACACCGCACGAGACAGTGCGGGGGCTGGAGGAAAAACCATTTGTGGAAACAAAATGAAGACGGTGGGAGAGGTACGACCTAAACCACTCAAGGACAGGGTCTTGAAGGTTGAGGTGGGAGGACAAGCGGTGGAGGATGATAGCGTGGTCGACCGTATCGAATGCGGCTGATAGGTCGAGGAGGACAAGGAGGCAGAGGGAGCCCTGGTCGCAGATGGTCAGGATGTCATTGGTGACCTTGACCAGGGCGGTTTCTGTGCTATGGGCAGCACGGAAACCCGACTGAAAGGGTTTGAATAATGAATGGGTGGAGAGGAAAGAGTGCAGCTGGGAGGCGACAACTCTTTCAAGGACCTTGGACAGGAAGGGGAGGTTGGAGATGGGCCGGTAGCTTGATAGCTGCAACGCATCAAGGGAAGGTTTTTTCTAAGTGGGAGTGATGATGGCAGTTTTTAGGGGAATGGGAACAGAGCCAGAGGAGAGGGACAGGTTGATGATTCTGTGAGAAGTGGGGCAAGGAGGTGGAGCTGGGAGATAAGGAGTGGGGATGGGGTCAAGGGAGCAGGTGGTGGGTTTCAGGGACAGGATGAGTTTGGTGACAGAGGGTGGGGAAACGGGTACGAAAGTGTGTAGGGGAGGATGGGTAGGAGTCGGAGTGTGGGAGGGAAGGGGTGGGAGGTGGATGGAAGTTGGAGGGGGAGTGACCGCGGAGCGGATTCCCTTGATTTTGGATTCAAGGCTCCTCCCCCCGCTGTCCTGCCGCCGCTCCCCGTGTGGCTGAACTCCCTGCCGCCTCAAGCTTAAAACTACCTGAAAAGGTAGGTCCAGGCTCCTCCCCGCGCTGTCCTGCCGCTGCTCCCTGTGTGAGTCAAAATGGCGCTGTGGCATCCTGTGTCACAGAGCACGCATATAGCCAAGCGGCGGCGGGAACAAAATAAAGAACACAGATGAAGCTAAGCCCCGGCAACAACAACAAAATTACATTTTTAAAGTGCTGAGTCCTCCCAAAAGTAGTCCCACCAGATGAATATAGATAAAGATGAAATGTCTGTCTGCGTGTCAATCTACATTCCATATTGGATCCTTTGGTTGCAAGCGAAGCTGCAACAGGTACAGCTAGGTTTACATAAAATTATACCTTATAATAATCCTTGCATTTGATGTAGCGCTTTTCACGTCTTCTACACATCTCAAAGCGCTTCACAGAATATGCTGTAAAA